TAGCGGAGTGCCAAATTTTGCGTGCCCATGCCGAGCGAGCCAAAACCCCGACCGCTCGACACGGCTTTCAAGATCTGCCCCTGTTCACAACGTTGCGTCCGGCCGGGGTCGAGACATCGAGACAAGTCCAATTGTGACAAGGCACCTCATGTGTCCCGTGGCTATGGGCTGGGCTTTGGTGGGCCATGCAAGAGAGAACCCGGTTACGGTTCGGATTCAAACTTTTAACCCGACGGGATCGTAAGTCCTCATTGTGCGATTCGCTTAGGGTCTCACAAAACAATCACCGGCTACTTTGCATCATCTAGACAATGTACCTTCTTCTGATCGAGTAGCAGCCATTGAAAGGTCATGCAAAGCAGAAGCCCGAGCGATGGAACAGCCTGGTCTAACTTCGCCTGCGGTAAAACTTTGGTCGACACGGAACTTTCATGCTGGCTAAATCACAAGGTATTCACCATGATCGTGCCATTTACGTCCCAGAACGTCCACGCCGAGTCCCGGCTGATGTTTTAGTGTGGCAGCAGTCGGAAAGCTGTACTGTACTACATTGCCGTGCATAAGACTGATCGCAAGAAATGGCGCCATTCTGAAAATGACAGTGGCAGATGGTCACATCTCGTAACTTCACGGTGAGTTCCTGGTGCATTGCTTGGCAGCTCCACCCAGCCGTTCAGTGAGTTTGAGTCTAAATCGTGCCCTTCCGAATGGCTTGCGTAGAATGCGTCAACAGCCAGTCCTTGAACGAAAGCTCGGTTCTGCGTCCTCCCACAACAACTGGGTTTGGAAAGAAGCGATAAGTTGCATGGCCAATCAGCTGATGTCTACCGACAACCGTCACACGGGCAGAGATCCAAGCGTGGGAATTGCGCACAGGTACGTTCACGCCCGGTTGATGCATGTCGTTTGACGCTCATTGTTCCGGAGGCTCAAAGCTTTGAGGTGCGCTGCTTCCGTTGGAAGCTGAGAGTATCGGCGAATTTCGGCCCCCTCGAATCTTTGCTGACCCCGATCGATCCAGCGTCGTCAGCATCTCTCCCTCTTCGTCACGCCCGAGCTCCGCGAGCTGTGAGAGGTCTGAAAGCATACATTGAACTCTATATTTACAAAGGTAGCCTCGCCTTTGACAAGGTCTTCGGCCTCAAGACTCGGTCTCGCGGATCTTCTCGACCCATTGACGCAGTGTAGCAGATAACACCTCTGGCAGAGCTTCGACTTCTCGTACCACCACATAGTAGTCGAAGGGGAATGTGTCCATGTAGCGCTCCATCTTGAGTTGCAAGCGTCCGTTGGCGTCCGTGTAGTACGAAGCATTCGTCATGTCCAAGATTGAGCCTCTCGGCTGCTGTGCCGCAGCTGGTTTGGCCACCGGGGTCGATGCTCCGCTGACTGTAGCAGGCTTGGATTGCAACGAGTCAATCACGACAAAAACGAGCATCACGCGCTGCTCCGCCGCTCTGCGCAGCAACGAGCGGAGCTTGGCGTGGTCCTGACAGATGCCATCCGAGATGATGATTTCAAGCTGCCACAGATCTCCACCTTGAGAGGCGGACGAAGAGGATCGCGAAGCGCGCGCCTCGGCCAGCGTCTCGAGCGACTTTTCCACCAGCTTGAGCACGTTTGTCTTTTTCTGCTGGAAGCCGAGTCGATCGATGACATGGGCTCCGTTCTGATCGTTGAAGCTGCCCTTGCCAAAGTCGTGAAGGCTATCGACATCTTCGCCAAAGCGGCAGATCGAGACATCGCCGACTTCCAGCCGAGACAACGCACCCGTGACGAGAGCCAGTGTCTGATATGCCAGGTGCGCAGAGCGCGATTCGGACATGCTGCGACTATCGTCGATCGCCAGCATCACTTGATACTCGCGAGACGAAGGCTTGGTGCGTCGAAGCCAGATCTTGTCTTTGGCAAAATCGGAAGCGATGAAGGGCACGATCTTGCGCATGTTGAGTCGCTTGCCTGTGCGGAAGTCGCCGTTGAGACGCGTTGCCAAAGTGGGAGCGAGGATGAGTCGAAGCTGCTCACACAGCGAGAAGGCCAGATCGGCGGTGAGCGACGCGTACGATCTCCAGAGTTCAGCAGCTTGAGCGAGGCGCTCCTCAGATGAGGCAACGTTACGGAATGCTTCGAGCTGCTGCTGTACCTCGTCATCCACCTCCTCTCGAACGTCATCGGGTAACGGTGTCATAGCTTCGTCGTCCTCGTCCTCTTCCTTCTTGACGTGCACTTCGTCTGCCATGTTGGCGTCTCCGTCGCGATCAAGCAGAGCCTTCTGTTCAGCTGTCAACGAAGCGGAGGGCGGCTTGAGGTCTGAAGGCATGAACGCTTTCTGCTGACCATCGTTGACTTCGTCACGCTGATCCTTGGTGGGCTGATCGGGGAGGGGCTGCGGCTCGTGCTGCTCTGACCCCTCTTGCTCGTTGACATCCTGTCCGCGAGGTTTGGGTGCCAGAGATTCGTCTTCGTCCTCGATGCCGAGATCGCCAAGCTTGCGAACTTCGTCTTGCTCCTGTGCGGCCCCGAGAGCTTGCAGCTCGGCAGCATCATCGTTAGCGACATGCTCGACATCGATGTCTTCGGGCAAGCCTTCGCCATCGTGGTCAGGTCTGTCGCCAGACACCTGCTCCTCCTCCTCTTCGCGGGCATTCTGGATCTCTTGCATTCTGCGCCGGAATTGCTCCAACGCGTCGCCCATACGACGGAGTGGATTGGGGTCGGCGCCAGCTTCACCATCCTGTTCTTGGTCGGCAGTGGCTTCTTGGCGTTCAGTCTGAAGCGAGTGCGCTCCACTTTGACCAGCCGATGGCGGCTGCTCGGCTTGCTCTCGCGGTGCTGCGTCCGGGGACTCGTCCGCGTCGTTGCCTTCGTCAGCCTGCGACTGGTCGTTGCGTGCGTCGACACGTCTGCCTCGCTGAGATCGCGACGACTGCTGCTGGTTGGCTGATTCGTCCTGGCCTCCATCGTCGGCACCTTGATCCACCGCGTCGATGTCGAAGGGATCCACCTGATCCTGTTGGTTGACGGATGGATCGTCGTTTGCAGGTTTCTGCTGCTTCGACTGCGGCTCCGGGCCTTCCTCCTCACCGTCCTCATCCATGGCGTCTTCGCCTTCATCCTTGTCCACCTTGATCTCCTCAGGTTCCGGCTCATCTGCTTCTCCTTCGGCAGTCTCGTCATTTTGCTTCTTGTCGTCGGCCGTCGGGTCGTCTACGAGATCGTCCATCGCCTTGTCGTCGACCCTGTCGTCTCGTTGGTCTTCGTCCGGCATCTTTTCCATGTCGCTTACATCGTCGAGATCGTCGTCGTCATCACGATCCCCGTCGCTCTCACCATCACCGCCGTCCATGTTGAGGTCATCATCCAGATCGAGGTTCTGTCCTTGTTCAGCTTCCTGATCCAGCTGACGACCGCCTCCTTCACCTTGGACATCGGCATCTTCGTCGTCTTCCTCTTCGCCGCCCTCACCCTCTTCGCCTTCGCGCTCCTCGGGCTCGGCAGCGTCTTGGTCGTCAGAGCCGTCTTGTTGGTCGGCATCGCCTTGCTCTTGCTGCTGTTCGTCCGGCTGCGGTTGGTCGTCGCGAGATCCTTCGGCAGGGCGCTCCTGCTTCTGCTTCTCGTCAGCGCTACCAGCGTCGTCTGCCTTGGGAACAGACTCGGCCTCCTTGCCGTCTGCATTGTCAGAGCCAAGATCCTTGTTCGTCTTGTCCTCTGGTGCATCTTTGCTCTCTTCTTCGTCGTCGTTGTTGCCGTCCCACACCTTCTCGTCGACAGCATTCGGGTCGAGAGGATCGACGTCGCCAATGGCCTCTTCAGGCTCTTGCTCGTCGCCATCGTCGCCTTGATCGCTACCGGCGTCTTCGTCTTCTCCGTCGTTGCTGATGTCCTCGAGGTCTCCACCAAAGTCTTGGTCGGCCTCCTTTGCGTTCTTCTCGCGTTCCGTCTTGTCGCCGTCATCCCCTTCATCGTCCGGACCATCCTTTTGAAGCTCTTCGATATCTTCGTCGTCCTCCATTTGATCGGTGATGTCCTTGGCGCCAGAACCGTCGCCAAGTCCGGTACCGCCTTCGAGTTGCTCGCCGTCCTCGCCTTGGCCATCGTCGTCGGTCTGCTGCTCCTCTGGAGGTTTGCAGAATCCCTTGCTGGCCAGAGCAGTCAGCAAATGACAGAGTGTGTGGTCGAGCTTGAGCAAGCTCCTGGAGTAATGCGCTGACGCCAGCAGATGGGCTCGCAGCAGCTCCGAATACTCGCAGAGGAAAGGATAGACGGCAGCGAGCTGCACCTGCACCATCTCTTCCGCATCGGTATCCCTCGCCAGCTGCTGTGCCATGTGTAACAGCTTCTCGACTTCCAAGAAGACTGAAGAGGACCGCAACATGGCTTGCTGGGTCTGCAAAGTGTGCAGTTCGGTCGTAACAACTTTGTCCGACAGGGGACTCGCACTGTCATCTAGGTCAGTCGGGTCAGATGACACGGCTGAGTGAGCGCGACGGACGTCTTGAGCCACCTGCAAGACGGCCGAGATCACCGTGTTGGCTTGCTGCACGAAGATCTCGGGCTGGAAAGAGCCTTTCAGAGGTGCGTCGAGAGTGTCGAGGCATCGGTCAAAGAGCGGAAGGGACTCACTGATCCACTTCCACACAGGATGAAGGAGTGCTTCCAAGGCCGGCAAGTCCTGCAAGTGGATGAACAAGTCTCGCTGCAGGTTTTCGACCAGATCGCGTCCAGCTTCGAGGCTGATGCGCTCTTGCTCTGTGACGAAGAAAAGACCCTTGCCACCTTTGATCGCCGTTTTTGCAAGCACTTCAACGGATGCGGCTTTCTGTCCGAGTTGAGCCGCAAGAGGAGACAATTGCCCAATCAACGTGTCAGCTGGGCCAGCTGGGAATGCCGATGTTGCGAGGAATCTGGGAGCTTGCGTCTGGATCTCGGTGAGCGAGTCGGCCAGGCGAGCAAGGAAGTCGGATAGAGCCTGGAACGGCGCAGATTGCGAGGCCCTGATGACAGTGCCGACACCTGCGACATGCAGATCGCGTATTCGCTCGACGAGCTTCTCGATCGACGACAGCGACAGCAATTCGGAATGCATTCGGTCTCGTTCCTTCAGAACAAGATGCGTGATATGCTCAATGTAGTTGACACCGCGTTGAAGTTCAGCCGTCGACAAGTCAGGGCTGTGACTTTGCAACGAGTCGCGTACTTTCGGCAATGCAGCGAGGAGACGGAAGAAGAGTCGCTCGAGCGTCGAAAATGGCTCGTCCGAGAGCGAGGCGGGACAGACTTGGAGCAGAGCAGGTCGTGTATAGATGTGCATCACGCTCTGATTCATCGCGGCCATGTCGGTCTTGACAAACGAGCTGAGACCGACGCGACGAAGCTCCTTGAGCAGATCCGACCATGCTTTGCGCTTGCGTGCCGTCAGGTTCTTGATCGCTTTCTCGTTGTCCTCTTTCGAAAACGCTGGCGTAAGCTTGGCGAGCTGCTGCTGACGATCGACGATCTCATCGGCCAGATCTGCGATACCCGTGGCGGTCGAAGTTGGTCGCAGCAATGCCGGCCAGAGGCGATCACCTGACATCTTCTGAAGGACTGCGAGAGTCTTGACGATGTTGCGGATATGCTCTGGCGCCGACTCGTTGTGACCGGCGAATGAGACCGCCTCCGTCCAGGCCGCGCTAAGCTTTTCGCTGACTTGGAAAAATCTGTGACGGCTGAGCTCGGCAACAGACAAGGCGGGTATATCGCGCCTGGTGAGTGCATCGAGATGCGAAGCCAACATGGGATCCACCGGCTGACGAAGGATGTCCCTGAACTTGCGCAGGGTCTTGTGCAGCTGACGATGCGTCTTGTGAGCCGACTGCTTGAGCGCGTGGATGTTAATGTCCTTCCAGCTCGCCAGCTTGATGAAGCCAAGAATGTCCTTTTCCAAGACTGCACGCTGGCTCTGCAAGGTACCAGAGATGCGCTCGTCAAATTGGCGGAAGAAGGCAGTCACGTTGTGCAACACCACTCCGACCTCTCCGAGACCTTGACTCTCCTTTGGCGGAGCTAAGCGGACGAGTTGCTCGATAAAGCGCGCGTACGACTCGAGCAGAGAAAGGCGCGCTTCGAATTGTCCGAGGGGGCTCGAGCGGATGAATTGGTCGACCGCGTCGATGAGCTGCTCGACGTGATCCTTGAACGCCTCCGGCCCATCCGCTGAAGCGGCTCGGGTGCCTCGTATGAGGATCTCGTACACACGGAACCACCATTCTCCAAGCTCGTCCTGGAAGGTACTTGCCTGCGTGCTGAGCAGCTCTGCCCAGCACGACAGCTCCAAGCGCCTCCACTCGATGATCTGAGCAGAGATGCGTTCGCGATTTGCCTGAATTGACGTCTCCTTGCTCGCAAAACCCTCCCAGTCTTCGGTGTGCGTCAAGAGCTGCTCGAGAGCGCTGAGCATCTTGGCCACCGGACTTGCGGCACCAAGGCGCAGTACTGCGTCGCAGCGATCGCGAATATGCTGCAGAACCATCTGCTCGGGCCAGTTCTGTATGAGAGCACTCAGTCGCGCTCGTAGCTCCTCGACGATAACAGTCGCCTTTCCGACCTCAGATGTGCGGGGATCCAGGTAAAAGTTGAAGTCCTTGGAGGTCTGGCTCGATGCGAGCTGGTCGTCGATGGCCGCTGACAGACCAAAGGCCGCGCCAATCTTGTCGATGTTCTCCGACCAATCCTCGTGATGCTGGCGCATGAGCTTGGTTACGAGACTGTCGCGCTCTTGCTGGAACATTGCAGAGGCTGTTCCACGGGAAGAAGATCCGAAGATCGCCATGTGCGCATGCAACACAACAGCAAATCGAGGCGGAGGCAGCAACATTCCCTTGTGCATCGAGTGTTCTTCACCATTGACGGCGACGGAAGGTCGCGGACCATCCAGAATATCGTCGTCGTACTCCGGGAACAAGGAGCGGAACTCCTTCTCTTCTGCTTCTGCATCCATGTCGATGGAGTCTTCGATCTTGCGCGACTTGTACAGACTCGAATTCTCTTCCTCTTCGCGCTTTGCCCTTTCCCTGTCGAGCGCCCACAGTTGAAAGATTCTCTCATAGCCACGGCTGACGTTGCGAAGGCTATCGGGGCTCTCCAGCACCGCAGTGCTAAGCGAGGCACGATCGTAGGCGACAGAGGTGGCGGAGACGATGAGGAGGGAAGCTGATATCTGTGAGCGTGCCTGAAGCTGATTTGAGAGGCTCGCCTGCCGTAACAACGCCGTGCTGCGTGCAGACGGGAAAGCGACGAGTGCTTCCACGATGGCACCGCGCTGCTTGACGTCGTCGGATGCAAACGCGATTCGGCTCTCCTGACGAACGATTCGCAACCCAAGCTGGAGCTGTAGCAGCGATGCCAGGATGGGCTCGACCATATCACGAAGCTCAGCAAAAGTCTTGCGAAGTCGATCGCCGAAGGAGAGCAAGCTAGCTTGCAAGCTTGCTTCCCGCTGCTCGGCCTGCTCTGAGGGTCCGCTGATCAATGCCTGAACCAGATTAGCCACTCGCTCGGGTGTCACTACCTCCCGGAGGAACGACGATGTCTCGCGGTAAAACTGCGACAGGAGCTTCAGATTCGGCTTTCGCCAAGCTTGAGCATGCTCGCCAGCGTGCATCTTGAGCTGCTTGCTGGTATCGTCGATCCGGGTTTGCAGATCACGGATGACGCGATTGCTCGCCGCGCCGGTCGTGGCTGACTCAGCGTAGATCTCGAGGTCGAGTGCACTTTTGAGCTGAGATTGGCAGAATTCGTTAAAGTTGGCCATTGTTCTGCGAGCGACAATCGGGTCGAGCGCGACGTTGGGCAGGTAAAGACGAAGCATGATCAACGAAGTGGAGATCCACGCTTGTCCAATGGTCGCGACTTCTCTCGTGTCTCTCGGGCCTGACAAGGCAGGTTGAATTTCTTGCTCCAGGACGATGATCCACTCGCACAATGCAGCGGCGGTGCCCTCCGCGAGGTGCGCCCGTTCCGCTGCCAGCAACGACTTGAGGACAGCGCTGCATTCCGTCAAACCGGTCGCGGACTTCCACGACGGGAGACCTTGCTTCGACAGATCCTTGAGGGCAGCATTGTAGAGTGCCTCGGAGACGAGGCCGATGAAGCAGGTCAAGACTTCGGTAAGCTTTTCGGCGCGGAACGACGAGCTTGCCGGTAGAGCGGCACCGACGCTTCTGATCATGCGACCGACCGAAGCATCGTGAAGCGATTTCTCCTCAAGAGATCGAGATCCAAATCGCGATTCAAGCAGCGTCTGCAGAGCGACGGGCCGCAAAAGGCAGGCGGGTCCGTCGCTTGTCGAGACCTGGCCTGCCTCTCCCAGCCAAAGACGACGAATCCAGCTGAAGTCTGCCAGGACCGCGTTTGAAATTGTGGATCCGGAGTCCAGTGACCATAGAACGGACTTGCATGAAGCAGCAGCTGCTTGAATGGCTGGCGATGAATCAGCTGTGAAGAGATTCATGACAATCTTCATCCTGGAAGCCTCGGGCCCGGCATGCAAACAGTCGGGCGTCTTGGTCGAAACCTCTGCGAGACTGAGCAGTATGGCTTCCGCTTTGGCTGTCGCAGCGGAGCCGACCGCAGCGTGCTGCTGATCTTTGATGGCTGCCCTATTGCCGGCAGATCGGATCATCTTGAGCGTCTGCCATCCGAGCTGCATGATCTCTCGCAGCTGCGACGGCGCCGCTGACTGTTTACTCGCAACACAGAGAGTGGCTGCGACATCCAAAGCGTTCTTCACTAGATCGCCGCCGGCAACAGCTGGAAGCTGCGTCAGCTCATCGCAGATCAGACGGTACAAGCTGGTCTGCATACCCTCGTTGGCTCCGAAGAGGGACCAGATGGGGAACAGCGCCTTACCGGACGTGAGTTGAAGGGATCCTCCCAGCGAGTCGATCGTGCGAAGCAGATGGGCGTCGCTGACGATTCCTCCGTCATTGGTGTCCCTGAGCAGGTCCGACATGAATCGCACCAGAATCTGTATCGACGAGTAATCGAGCTCGGAGGTTGCGCATAGCTTCTGCAAGTACTCGGCAGAGCGCAAAAGCGAAGCCACTTGACGCAGGGTCGAGGCGGACCAACTGGCAGCGCCGTCGGTATGCACAGATGCAAGCACCATATTGTTGGTGGCAGCGATCAGGGGAAAGACGTTGCGCACAGTCGTCGTCGCTTGGTCCTCGTCGTGGACCATTGCGGTGCTGCTGAGTCGTGCGGAACGTTCCAAGATGCTGAGATCCTGCATGCGCTTCGTAGAGGCTGCTTCCATAATCTGCTGCGCTCCGAGACGTTGTATCATCGCCGCGAGAAGAATGCCAATGCTCTCTGCTGAGACACTTTGCGATCCTAGCAGTCGAGACACGTTGTCGTCGTAGCGAAGGTCGACGGAGAAGGAATCAACTAGCTCCTGCGTGACATGAGTCGTATCTGCCAAACGATGCTGGACAGCTTCTCTGCTGGTCAGAAGAGGCGTGGGATTTGATACAACGTCCTGCAACAATGCCGAGGTAATGCCCGAGACCGTTAACAGACGTCTGATCAGCACTTGCCGAATCAATGTGAACACCTTGGGAGAGCTGAGACGTATCAGCAAGGAGGCGCTTGCTTCTGAGGCTGATTCTTCGACGCTCGAGAGAAGCAAAGGTAAGGTAGCAGACGCCAAAGTAGTGTTGGTAAGCGTCAGCTGACTAGCCGCCCAGATCGCCGCCTCGCGTCGGTGGACGCTTGGCAGATCGCTTAGTTGCCCTTCTTCTCGCTCTTCAAGGCCACGCTGCAGCATCTGACCGCGCAGCGAAGCATCCATCAGCATCCTCTGAGCGGACGCTTCAAGGCTGATCGATTTGCCGGACTCGACACCGCAGAGCTGCATGAGCCTCTCGAGATCGGCAGACTCGGCGCTCTGTTGCGGCAAGAGAGCGATCTCGATTCCTCGGTTCCTCATGGCCCTTGATAGCTCGCCATGCCTTGGGTCCAAGCACATGAATACGCGGAAGTTCGGATGGGGTCGAACCACGGGCACTTTGCCGTCCACGACACCGCGTTCGCTGATGACCAGGGAGCCGTTGACTTCGAAGAGAGAGTTGAGTCGATCCAGCACCGATGCCGAGCAGAGGTTGGCGTTGTCGAGCAAGAGCCAATGACCTTCCTGCAAGGCTCGAAGTAGAGGTCCATCGATCCATTCGAATCTTCCCGTGGCTCGTTCGGTGTCCTGCGAGGTCTGCTGTAATTCGATAGCTGCTGCAGAGGCGTCCTCAAGCGCTGCTCTGAGAGCGTCATCATCGATGCGGCCATTGAGAGCTCGTACGGCCTCAAAGGCACTGACCATGCTCTCTGCAGAGAGCGTGGCTTTTGTATTCCAAATAGCCATCTCGAATACGTCACGAGCAGCGAGGAAGGCTGCAAGATGGTCAGTGCTCGACGCAGCAACCATTTCGAAAACGCGCTGCATCTCCTTTAGCAGCGTGCTAAAGGCATGTCTTATGCGTCCATGCGGGTCGTACTGTTCAAACGTGCCGATGAGGTCCATGGTATCGGTGCCTGAGTTCATCTGGAATTCTTCCAAGCGGGCGCCCGTCAGTTGTGCAAGAAGCCTCACCACGCTCGTCTTTCCGCAACCTGTGGGCCCGACGAGGATGGAGAGCCATTCCTTGTGCACGCAGTCCATCAAGGCCTCGAGCATCGGTAGCTGACTTGGGAGGAGGACGAGACGGTGGTTGAACGCGTTCAATACTGGCTCGCGCTGCATCACCGCATGTCCGATTCGCACTTTGGTCCGCGTCAACGTCGACAGAATGCGCGGAGCGTTGGCCGACTCCGTACCAAATGTTTTCCGGAACAGTTCGCGTGCGGCTTGACGATCAGAGATTGAGCGGAAGCGCTGGATGTAGAGGGAAGCAAGATGCTCGACCGGATCGCCAAGTTTGTTGAGACCAAGATTGGTGTGCAGCAGATCAAGCCATCGCATCAGATCTCGGAGATTGAATTCCCATGGGGCTCCGACCCTGCCGAAGGAGTGCTTGACGACAACTTCGTGATGGAGATCAAAGTTGAACTGGATCATGCGACGAAGCTGCTCCGTATCAAAGTTGGGGTACAGATGCGAGCTGATGGCGAGAATGTCTTGGCGCGTAAGCTCTTCGATGTGCACCTTGATGAAACGGTTGAGGAACGACTTGGGAAGACCTTTCCTGCCGCCGCCCTGGTGATGTGGGTTCTGTGCGGCAAAGATGCGGAAGTCCCTATGCTTGGTGAAGGAGCGTCCCAGCTCAGGCACGTAGACGGTTCCACGATGGTCAAGGCACGAGTTGAGGCCCTCGAGCACCGTTTGAGATGCGAGGTTCATCTCGTCGAGCAGCACCCATTCGCCTTGCTGCATGGCGGTAAGGAAAGCTGCGTCACGCCAAGCAAACTCACCAGGACCTCCGCCTTCCAAAGGCATGTCTGACCCAAACAGATCCACAAGCTCGGTCTGATCGGAGAGGTTGATGCGAGTCAGCGGGCGAGCTGCTGCAGCGGCGAGGGCAGTGATCAGACTGGTCTTGCCCGCTCCTGGGCTACCTTCGAGAAGGACCGACTTTCCTGGTACGGACAAAGCTCGAAGGACTCGCATAGCGTTGGATGCAGAAGTCTTTGCTCCGAAGCTGAACGACCCAGAACCTCGCGCGACTGTGTCGATGCTCCCGCGTTGGATGGTGTAGGGACCAATGCGCAAGCGCTCCTCGGAGATGTCCACTTCGAAAAGGCTTTCCAGTTTGGGATCGTACTCTTGAGGTGCAATGAGCTCGGCCACCCTGGCAAGGCAGCGATTGCGTAGCTGCGCCAAGCCTGCAGCGGTCATGGCTGCGGTGGCAGGCAGCGCCCCTAGGCCGTCAATGATCGTGAGAGAGGCGCCATGGGCGAAAGCGAGGGCTGGATCTAGCGACGAGCTGACGACGAGCTCGTTCATGAATGATGCCCACGTAAGAAGATCTCGCAAGCCCAATCCTGACTGGTCGCGGCCGCCAATCTGATGAATGAACCAGTCGGAAAAGTCGATGATGGGCTCGGTCCATAGCAACAACCTAGCGTCCCTCCATTGTGCGTTGATAATCTGGATCAAGTCGCTACGAATATCGACGTGCGGCACCCAGATCTCGGTGAATCGATTACGCAGCGCGGGTGAGAGCTCCTTCTTGCCGTAGTCGCCACCTGGGTTCATGGTCGCGAGCACTTGGAAGCCATCTGCACCCGTGATCTGCGATGACGAGATGTCAGCCTCGGAGCTAAGTTGGCTCGACGAGGTGGCTCGCTCGGCCAAGACGAGTGTTCTAGCAGGTTCCAGAACGCTATTGAGACGCTCGAGCACGCTGTCGTCGGCCAATGAGATTTCGTCGAGCAAGATGTGATCGCCAGCTCGCATCGCCTGTACCAGAGGGCCGTCCCGCCATTCGAACAGCGCGGTAGCCTGGTACACCTCGCGCAGAGCACTGTTTAGCGACTGCTTAGCTGTTGCCTTTTGCGATTGGTCTAGTGACGCCAGCTGCTCCGGCTCGTTGGACAAGATCGCCTCCATGACGGAGGAAACGTCTTCGAGCTTGCTCTCACCACTGAGATTGTGTGGGATGTGGAGCTCGTTCAGGGCTTCGATGCATGCAGCCTTGGCGGAGTTTTGCTGAGCAGCTCGATTGCGAAGCGGACGCTGACCACCGAGAAGATCGGCCGTGTCGGTGTTCTGGTGACAGTTGACACAGTGTAGATCGCGACCGAAGGCAGTCGCGAGTACCTCGCACACGGACGTCTTGCCCGCACCAGTTTCACCGACGAGCAGCACTGGCTCGTTGTACCGCAGGGATGTGGCCACGAGGCACAGCAATCGTTGAAAGGCTGATGTTTTCACGATGTTTGTGCTGGAAAGGGTCTTGATGATGGCGCTGCCGAGTCCTCTGCCGATACGAGCAAGCGTTGCCTCGCTGTCTTGACCCTCTAGCAAGTACATGCGCTCGACGTCGAGCTTGACGCGCATGACCTTCTCGATGACCTCCTTGACGATGTCCTTATCGTCTGAGCGACGCGCTCGCTCGGCGATAAGCATGTACCCGTTCTCTGCCAGTTGCTGATAGCCTACCGCTTCGCGATTGCCCCAACGGAATAGGTCACGAAGCGTGACGAAGGCCTGCTTGGTCTCAAAGACACGACCAGCCTGGCGACGCTTCTGTAGCTCTTCAAAGACGCCTACGATGCGCGACGAGTAAGAGGGAGCTATCTTGCATCGGTTGGTGAGAATCGTCTCGAGCTCGGCTCGCGGAACGTCATCAAAGTGCAGCTCGAGGAAACGATTGCGGAAGGCTCGACTCAACACTTTACGTCCGGCGTAGAGACCTGGAGGGTTCTGCGTCGCAAAGAGCATAAAGTGTGGATGGGGCTTGACCACCTCGCCTGTCTCGGGGATGACGAGCTCGCGATTGTCATCCAGCAGACGATTGAGAGCCTCGAGCACGTCCGTGGGTGCCAAGTTGAGCTCATCCAAGACGATCCAATCACCTCTACGCAGAGCTTTGACCAGCAAGCCTTCCTGAAAGCTAAGCTTGCCCGAGTCGGGGTCCGAGGCGTACGAGCCAATGTACTCTTGGATGTCGGTGTGCTCGTGGTTGTTGATGCGAACGAAGCGGTGTCCAGTGCGACGCGCAAGATACTCGACGGCACTCGTTTTACCCGCTGACGTAGGCCCCTGGATGAGGACGGGAGAGCGACGGGTCAACGCGGTTCTCGAGAGTCCCACGAGCTTGTTCTGCACGGACGGCGTAAGAATGTAGTCCTCTGCAGCGTCGAGTGGTGCAGGTCCGGTCGTGAGCCAGAATGGCCCGACTTGGACGAAATATTCGTCTTCGGCACCCGTGGGAGCTGGAGGAACATAGGTAGCGATGGCACGGGCATTCTTTGCCTTGGTCAGGGTATGACGCTCGATTATGGCGCGGACTGTCCTGGCGCTGGTTTCGTCCAACAGCAGGGTGAAAGCCATGATGAAACCTTCCCAAAGACCACGGCGCAGTCCGTACTGCGGTGCAATGTCAGTGGCGAACGTCAATGCGCGCGATAGAGTTCGGATGGAAAAGTGGGGTCGCTGATTGGCGCCATCGGCCAGCTCGTGCTGCTGCGCCAAGCGGCGAATCTCGGCATAGCATTCGGCGACATCCATTATGGCACCTCTGTCTCCGAGAGCGTGCTCGCCGATGTACTTTTCCACGATGGCCGTGAGCGCATCACGATCGGTATCTGGACTGGGCACGTAGAGCTCGGTGAAACGCGATCGTAAGCTGGCCGGCAAATCCTTCTTGCCGACATCGGTGGCAGGATTCATGCAAGCAAAGAGTCGGAAGTTGGGATGTCTGGGAATAGGCTCCAGATCGCCGCGCTCTGTGAGGGTGATGCTCGAGGTCGGAGATTGGAGGAGGCCCGTGAGGCTGTCGAGAGTCTCGGCGGCCGCCAGGTTGATCTCGTCGAGCAAAATCCAGTCACCTTGTCTGAGCGCCTTGACCAGGGGACCCTCAACAAAGGAAAAGACGAGGTTCTTCTTCTTGCCGCCGTGCTGGACACCAAAGTCCCTGGCTTTTGCATCCAGCTCGACCCACTCGCGATCAAGTTCTGCCTCTGCTCGCGCATCGTCGATATCAGAAGGAGAACCTTCGGCAGCGCCTCGCTCCGTTTTGCGCTTCTTTCTCGAACCGGATCCGGCACGTCCGTCGGCGTCGACGCTGGCGATGTCTTGATCTGTCGCTCCTGTCGTATTGGGACCTCTCTGGCGTTGCGAGGCCATCTTTGCAGATTCGCGCCACAGAAGGGCAAGGCGGGACCATTTACCAGCGATGAAGGCTTTGCGCTCGGCGTCGACGAAGCGCGCATTGCGGCGGGACGAAAAGGTGCGGGCGAAGAGGGAGCTCCATTGGTCGTGGATCTCGGTGGCCGGAACTTTGGGATCGAGCGGTTTGAAGGCTCCGAGTAGGTCGCCGCTCTCAGTCTGCTGGCTAAGATTGAGCGCAACCATAGGTTGACCGAGGAGCGAAGCAAGATGTTGAATGACAGTGGTCTTGCCCGTACCGGTCTCGCCGACAAGGAGCACGGGCTCGCCAAGAGCTGTTGCTACAGTCAGCCTCTCTAGCAGCAACAGAGACGGCTTTGTCATTGCAAACTTTCTCGAAACCGGAGCGGCTCTTTTGGCGATGGCCTTGGAACGACGCTGCAGCTCGCAGCGACCGACACGGATCAGGCTCGATCCAGCGTCAATGGACTGGACCATCGCGTTGACGCCGAGAGAGGGATCTGCGGACCTCACAGAGAGCTCTGGGATGCGCTGCTTGAGCGCCCACCAGGCACGTTCGCTGGTCAAGCCAAGCTCTTGGGCGAGCAGCTCAACCAGCGCTCCATAGCGGTCAGCACTCTTGCCGTTGAATGCTTTCGTTGTAGAAGGAGTAGCTGAAGCCGAAGTGGCGAGTACCTCTTGCGCTGGGGGCACCGAACCGAGGAAAATGTCGCACGCCTCGATGAAGATCTCCTCTTGCTGCACGGGATTGCTGAGCGGATCGGAGCGCAAGGCATGTTCGTTCGACAAGAGGCGCTCAACGCGGCGGCACCACTTGATGAGATCGCGCAGAGTCGCTGTGCGGATGCTGCCCGCGCTGACGCTCGCGCCTGTTGCTGAAGACCGAGATGAAGCTGCCGATGGCTGCGTAGCGCGTTGAAGCTTGTGCCAAGTTGAGACAAGACGGTCGACAAAATGCGACTGCTGAGTGGTGAGATGCACAAACTTGTTCTTGAGGATACTGCTCACATCGGCCTGACTGGGCGCAGCCACGAATACTTCTGACCAGTGCGAGCTACCGAGGAAATTTGCACCCGTGGATAAGGACGCGTTTCGCAACGAGGAAGCTGTGGCTCGTGTGGCAAAGAGAGCAAAACCATGACCAGCTACGACCTTGCCACGAGTGCCGAGATCGATGGTGGGGCGCGTGCCCAATACTTTTGTGGGACCGAGCTGTTCGACGAGTTGAGCGATGGTACTGAGCACTTCGGAGCCTGCCTTGTCAATGTCCTCGAGCACGATCCACTTGCCCTGTCGCAGAGCACGGGTGAGGGCGCCTTCGGTCCATTCAAATTTGCCTGGTTGCGTTGGACTCGAGACGAACGAGCCGAGAAGCTGCTTGGCATCGATGCCAGATTGATCGCCGAGTTGGATGGTGAGGAGATGGCTCGCATTCGTGGACGATTCTACTCCTTTGAGCAATTGTGAAAGGTGTCGTATCAAGCTCGACTTGCCGCTGGACGATGGACCGGAGATGAGGATGGGGTAATGGAGGCTGAGCCGAAGAGCGAGCTGCGATAGAGACGGCGAGATGCCTGTGGTCTCGATGAAGCGGTCTTCAAGGGGTATGGCAGAATGGTCGTTGATGCTCTGACGAGAGCGTGCGAGCAGGACACCGCCGACGCAGCAGACTTCAGGAGACAGATCGTCGGTTGAGAGCGCGATGCGCTTTCCGTTCATCGCTGTTTCGCCCTCTCCATCGTCCAGGTACGGTGCGCTCGTTTGAGCCACACGCGATCGGGCAAGTTGGATGCGCGAGAACTCTTCCGTTTCGAGAGTCCACGAGTTGATGCCAGCTGGTTCGAAGGCGAGCGGCGCTACCGCATTGATGGTGTATGGATCAGAGGTGTCGATGGCAAGCGTGTCGAGGCACTTTTGCTGTAGTTGATATCGTCCATTTTCGCTGATGCCCTGCTGCGAGGTGAAGAAGTGGAGAGCAAGCAGACGCGTGGAAACTGAATCGGAAGGATCCGACGAGAGAACGATTCGATGCGCCCATTCAGCGTAGGATCTTCCAGTCTGGCCAGGAAGAGCGTTCGAGGTGGCTGCGACGAGTCTGTAAAGATCCAGCAGCACTTGGTTGCGCACCTCGACTGGTGCTTCCGAGATGCTTTGAGGCAAGGTGGCAAAGGCGGCCGTGCCGACAAACGTGGTCAGGAGCTCGTAAATGTCGGGAGGGAAGATGCCGATCAACAAAGCGAAGCTGTGCAGAGTCTTGACTAGAGCTTCGACGCTAGTACCATCCGTTTTGTGTGCTTGATCGAGCGCGCGAGTCGCTAGTTCCACTAATATTGGCTTGAAGCATGATGCCACTGGAAGGGTGCAACCCGGTACGAGAAGCAACGCCGCGATGCGATCCAGAGCGTTCGATGCCGAGCTCTTTGCGTCGAGGATGGCTATCGCTCCTTCCAGCACGCGCAGAGCCTCTGTTCGCTCTGATAGCTCGGTCCTCAATGAGATACAACCTGCGTACACATCGACTTTCAGAGCTGAACGACATAGTGCGGTTGTTGAGGCGTCGCCTTCGGCGTCGATTGATGTTGCCAGCGAGGACGAACCCATCTTGCAAAGCAACGACCTTTCAGGTCGACTAGGATACGGGTCTATGAAAGCGAGACGATGCGTGTCATGTGAGGTGAAAGAAGGTTGGACACGGGTTCCGAAAAGGTTGATGATGACCAAGTCGATGAACGTAAAGTGAATCCGAATCTACGCAGCGGATATTCGCTTGGAGGTACGCCAGATGATCCGAAGCGACACTGAGAGAGGTCTGCTGTGTGTTTGTCGGCCTGAGTAGCCAATGATAGGCTCGTAGAAGTGCTGTTGAATGGTGTTTAGCTGCAAGTTCAGGTCGAGCACCATCATCTTGGCAAGCGAAAAGCAAAGCCAGCGAGACCCTCGATTTCTTCCTAAACGTTTTCTGATTTTTCTTCCTCCTCCTCCACAGCCTGTGGAATTTCTTCGTGAACTGTAGCTCAGCCGCCCAAAAAAAAATGTCGAGCTAGTCCGACTTCCGAAGTTCGAGACCGACTTTTTCTGCTTCTTCTTGTCGTGTGTCACACTCTATTCCCTCACGTTGTTAACCTGGTCTTCTGCAGCATTCTATCAACCAGCAACTCGTCACAATCATCATGTCGGCGCTTCCAGGTGAGTGTGAGGATGCGATACCAGTGCCTGGCGCCTTCTTGCTTTACTGACGTCCACGGGTCGCCGTCCAAATTGGCTCAACAGACAAGATCGGCTCGCTCCTCTTCTGCCCAAATTGCGGTTCGTTACTCGATGTTCCTGGCGACGAAGACTTCATCAAATGCGCTCCCTGCGGTGCTGTTCAAAATGCGAAGGGTATGTTACCGCTCAATTCCTGCAAGATTTGGTGCGAGCGGCCCCGACTGACCACACCCTTTGATCCTGTTCGTGTTCGATCGCGGTCAATCACTTAGTCTACGACAATCTTTCCATCGTGACACGCTCGCATCCCTCGGCGTTCCCGTCAGCATTGCGCCAGAAACGTCAGTTGGTCAACACAGCAGCCGCGCTTGGCGACAACAACAAACCACAAGAAGCCACCATTAAGGAAAAGTGCCCTGGATGCGGCAACGACGAGATGAACTTCCACACCCTCCAGCTCCGTTCAGCAGATGAGGGAACCACCGTCTTTTACGACTGTCCAAAATGCGGCTACAAGTTCAGTCAGAACAACTGAATCGCCACAGCCCAGTCATCCATTCGAGGCAGCAGCGACTCATGCCAATTTTGGTCAGCACTCTCTTTTCACATCTTGCATCTCTTTCAGTCTCGTCACCGTGTATTAGTAGCCAGGCTCATTTAACAGCCAAATTGTACAGCATCTCCCATCGACCCTTGCACGACGACTTCCGGCGCTCAGAACCCGTCTTCATCGTCATCCTCGACATCCCAATCCACCGCAGCTTCCAGCTCCTCCGCCTCCTGATACATCTTATCCAGCCCCGTCAGCTGCTCCAGGTACTTGTCTTCGTTGAAAGCGTTCAGCAGCATCTCGAAGCCTCTGGCACGGTACGCTTCCACAACAGCTGCACTGCATCCCGTACAACGATCGTAGGCTTGACCGACTACCCTCAATGTGTGGAACTGCGCAAGGAAGCCTCGAAGCTGATGCGGTACGATACCGAGCACTGTGGTGGCATCTGCGATCGCTTGCGCATCTTCCACGCCTTGCCTCGATGTTTCACCCGCCGTGGCAGGCGCGTTTACCCCGAGATCGTGCTGCAGCACCGACACCATCAATTCAACAGCAGAGGCGCCGGCAATAGCGGCCAAGCCGGGTCTGGTCACCGTGCACATTTGATCCAACGTTCGGTCGGTGAGGGAATCGGATGGCGCAACCACATCGTTGCAAAAGTAGCAGCCTAGCCGTCCGTGCCAGCTCTGGTCAGCGGTCTTGCCTTTGTTCGCATCCGGTCGCCCCTCTGTTCCCTCGGCCGCTATGGGCGGACCCCCGTGTCGCATGACTAGATAGCTGTCGAAACCGAGTGCTGCATTGATGACCAGCTTGGATTTGGCAGCACCCAACAGACTTGGAAGCCATCGACTTTCCCTCGAGTCCATGAGCAGGTAGATGACGTCGTGTTCGTCCACCAGCTTTTCCAAGCGTTCGACGTCCTCCTTCACCCGGTGTTCGGTGTTTGGCGCAACCGGGTGTCCTGGCATCGGAATGCTGAGGCTGATGCCCTTAGCATCGACGCCAGGGTAGATGCGCATCAATCGCCTGGCCGCACATTCGGCTTTGGGCTGTCCGCCTTCCAGGCAGTCTTCAAAGTCAAATAGCGGCTGCCGTACTGGGTTGGAAAACGAAACTTTGGCAGAGTCCACCAACGTGATCTGTCGAACACCCCATCCCAAGAGAGAGCGCGCTACGTAACACCCGAGTGTACCCGCACCGAGCAAGAGGCATCGTGTGCTTTGGATCGTCTCGAGCTTGATTTCTGGCATGATTCGCCAGCGCATGAGCTTGAGATTGAGGTCGACAGCCTGATCCGCCAGCTTCCTCGGGTCCATCAGCGGTCCCAGATCGGCCACCTTGGGTGCGAGCTTGCCCTGTGCGTTGCGCTCCCAGCCAACGCCACTGGGCGCTGAGGTATCGCTTGGCTTGCAGGCGAGCCACGTTTGTCTTCCGTCGAATCGCAGTCCTGATGCCGAAGCCCGGTCAGCGCTCTGCGGTGCGGGCAGACGCACTTGTCCGACCACACTTCTCAACCTCCCCGGAGTGGGCGCGCTGGCGGCTGTTCCGACGTCGTCCTTCCAGCAGATGACCTGAGCTGACTCGACACCAAAGCGAGCGTGCAGATACGCCAAGAAGTTGCGCAGCGGCCAGCCCGGAATCTGTGATGAGCCCGAGGGATCGACAAAGCCGACATAGCGCGCCTGTTCCGGCACTCCCTCAAAGAAAGACTCGTACGTTGATATCCTGCTGCATCGTGCATCTGAGCTGTTCACCGCCTTGAAGAGGAAGAAGCCTCTTCCGATGCTTTGCTGCTGGATCCAATCTGTAATCACGTCGCACTGTGTGGCGCTGATTTTCGTCGAGACTCCCTTCCATGCTTCGTTGCCGTCTGGACCATCGTCCACCACTTCCCACGGCGGGCTGGTTGTTAGGGCAGGGTAGGCGAACCAGTAGTAGAACTTGAATTTCTTAAGGTCTGCAAACGTAAGCGCCAAAAAGGTTGTAAGGAATCGTTCTGGTTCTTGTTGCCTGTCGATCAACCCTTTCCAGAGGTGGCGAAGCGTGTCGTCAAAGATGGATTGCTTGTCTGCGCTGCGAAACGATTCAATCGTGTTGAAGTTCTTCAGGACACCTTGAGCTGAGATAGCGGAGACTGACTGGTGCGCGGACGATGAGGTCGACGCAGTGTCTGTCCCCTGGGCAGCTGACTGAAGACTGGCAGCATCGAGGCTGATCTGACTGCCGAGTGAGACCGACTCTCCGGTCTGACGATCAAGGATCGCTTTGCCGGCGGTATACTGGGCTGCGATGGAGACCGCGTCATCGCTGAGCTGAAGTTTGTCGATCTTTAGCGAGGAGAGTTCCTGCCAAAAGGTGGGATGGATATTTGTGCTGAATGGAGCAAATTTGAGGATCGCCATCCTCAAAGCGAGAGACTGGTGGACGAACAAGGTGGCGAGGATGATGGCGTGTCACGAGGAAGGCGGGAAGTGCGCTGAAGCTCGGGGTTGACAGCAGAATCAGGGTCTTTCAAAGGGTCCATCAAGTCAAATCGAAATTCTTGGCTCGTGCTCCGATTGAAGTCACGGGCAGGACGCGACTTTTGCCAGATCGACTGATGTCGTCCCACAGTTGTCGAGCTGGAGGACAGCACAATGCCGAATACTGCGGTACGAATACCTTGCGCCTCGATGTCGAAAGATAAGGTTGTTCACGAGTGTCTAGTTGGGCACCGTCGACAAGGGGGCACCTGGTCGAGCGACAAAGAGACGAGATAAAAGTACGACCTTGCGGAAAGGATTGAAAATGGAGTGCTAAAAATACAACGGGAAATGATGGACGTGAAATCTCAGTCGTGGGAGACTGTCGCGATTGCCTATCTGCAACAATGGCGCCAGCATGTGAGGGAATAATGTTACATGAGAGCAAGAAGATGTCACCTGCGTATCAAGCCAGGCGGACCACCCGAGCCGAGTGGCGGCGCCTTTCCTTTGACGCCTTGGTATGCCATGCCGCCGAACGGCAGCGACGGGTCAAAGGGCTGGGTACCAATGGTTTTGGGCGTTCCAGACTGATGCTGAGCGGAACTCTGCACCGACGACGTTGAGGTGGGTGCTGGTGCTTGGCCGGCTCCTTGACGCAATTTCTCTCTCTCAGCTGTCTTCCAAGCTGCTCGGATGGCGGGCGCTGCGCTGACAAGCTCGTCGGCGTCGACACCATCGCGAATCGACTTGAGAATCTTGTCGACGATAGAGCGATGATTGCCGTGATGCTTGTCATCACGAATACGCATCATCCGCCATCTTGGCGGCAGCGACAACTCCCGCGAGAGGTATGGCTCGGTGGCTGGCTGCGGATCGACCGACCAGACACACTCGACGATGCGGTCGTCGAATTGCTCTCCCGATTCGACCATCTGCCTCCACTCCTCAGGCTCCACCCACAGCTCGTCGAAGAACTCGTAGTCTTCGTGGGCCGAATCGCCCAAATACTGGTGCAGCTCGAAGAAGGGCATGACGGACAGATTCGGCAAGTTGCCGCGTGGATCACGTTCCAGGTCTGGCGGGAAGCGGAGGATCAGCTTGAAGTCGATCGTATTCTCGTTCGGCGGCTTCCACTTGAGAATCTTGGGGTCGGTACCCATCACGTAACCGCTGTTAAGACAGGTGAAGATGAGACCGTCGTTGCCATGAAGCAGATTGGGCACCGTCTCGTACAGAACCATCTGAATACCGTATGCAAGGTCCATCTTTTTGACCTGCACGTCAAAAGGGCGCCGTGCGGCAGCTGCAGGATTTCGCTTGAGATAGTCTACGTAAGGTGGATAGACGAAAGTCTTGAGGCGTCCGTAGCGTTTGCTGAGGGGTCGACTGGCGAGCAGCTCGCGATCCAGCACGATGAGGTCAAAGAGAAGCAGGACGAGTTTCTGCTTGCCGCTCGAATCGGTATCGATGACCAGTTCTCCGTCCATCAGCGTATGATTGCGCATGCCGTTGACGCGGGCCACCTCGGGATCCTTGGGCATGTGGTGCGGGAAGACGACGCCTTCGACCTGGTAGTAGTCGTTCTTTCGATCGATCAGGAAGACCTCTTGAGCGCCCGTAGAGGCAGGTATGACGATGAGAATTAGGACACGTTGACCATCCGACTTTTCGCACACCCAGTAGTCTTCGGACTGCAGTAGACCGATCGATGTCTTTTCGAACGAGACGGGCTGGGCTCCGGGAAAGCGGGAATGGTTGAGACGACAGAGACCGCGGACGTGCTCTCGTAGGAAGCTGAGCTGCTGAAAATCCTCGACCTTCCGACCGGGAACGCTGGGCACGCTAGCAGCGTGACCCAGCGGAGCCATGCTTGCTGTGTGAATCTCAGCCGCCTTTGGATGTGGAGAAGGAGCAGGCGCGAGGCGACGATGGACGGTCGTGCACCCTGGCTAGAAAGCCGGCGACAGTGCAGCGCCTCTCGACGGAGCAGAAGCTAGACTGCTGATGCAGCGTTGAAGCGCGTAGAAGACGGATGGAAGGTGGATGCGATTCTTGTCGAAGGAGAAGGACGAAACCTTGGATACAGTATCGACCCGTGAAGAAGACTCGCTGCTTCGCTTGTGCGAAGACGACCCTTGCCCGATTCGAGAGCCCCTCACCACCGCGATTCGATCAGATTCGAAGCAATGGGTCAATGACTCGTACGTGAAAGCGAGCCCGCGGGCGAATCTATTTTTGTTCCAAATGTTTTGGAGCCGGCGGCTGGAATCGAGTCTGTATATTTGCACAGACACCTATTGTACCAGCTCGAGTTCACCGGTTGCGCTCATCTCCAAGACTCTTCCACCGTTAGATGTCCCTTGTCCCTATAGGTCATGATGCAGTATCGCCATCAGGACATGAATAGTCGAGTGGAAACGAGTTCTTGCCCATCACACCGCTCCTTTGTCAAGGCTTGCAGTGTACCGTCTTGATATTAGCTGGTATGAATGTGATGAGCTTCTGGCACGATCCCACCTTTCACTGGACTGCACCCTGCTCAAGATTTGCAGAAGCAGCCTGTCGCTTGCGACCCGCCGAAGGCCTCGTCTCTCATCCGGCCGCATACAGAAGTTATCGGACCGACTGTGGACTCTGTGTTGCGACAGCGAGGGTTGATTATCATATATTGGCAGAACCGCAATGTTCGGGATCCGACTTGCTTTCTCTGTGCGGCACCAACGCTGCAAGAGAGAGAGAGAGAGGAGCAGACGCGGACAGACCGAACATGCCCTATTTCGTCTGCGGAATTCGAGGCTAGATTCACGCAAAATCCAACTTTCCAGAAATTGATTTGTGCACAGCCGCACAGCCGAGCTGAACAAGATTCTTGGAGCGCACAGCAGCACAGCCAATCTCACCCTCGAGCCCACTCCAGTTCAGGGTCACCGTTGCGTGGAAGCCCGAGTCTAGCCACGGGCCACACCACGACAGGCGAATCGGCTGTGGTGACACGCCACTTGTCTGACCTGCATGACTTCCACAGACTTTGCTCCACACCATCACCATCATCATCATCATCAGTCGTAACGGCGTCGCCTCCTCTTCCATCTCCCGTCCTCCTCTCTACGCACATCCCTTTAATCTAACGCGCTTTTCGACATGTCGGCTAAGGACTACTACGGCGGTCAGGGTGGTGGTACGTATGGACACGGTTCAATGGCTCGAGTTGGAGGTGGCGGAGATATCTCGCACTAAAGGCACGCTCTTCGATCCATCTACGCACGTTGAAGTCACGTGGCGGACGTCTGGCACCCAGCAACACGTGGTGTGGTTCACGAACGCGTGCCAGCTCGTTCCGATGTTCTTTGTTAGGCGTCTCCAGAGGGGGGTATATTCGGACATGCAACGGAAAGTCTCCGATGCCAGCTGAGCCGCCCTCCTTCGGCTCAACATCCGCCCCCTTTGAGCGCGATTCGGGGCCCGCGGCCCGCGATCAATCGTTCCCTCTCAGCATCGCGTGGATGGATCGGACGCCGACCGACCTCACCCATGCGGCAATGCGATATAGCCTCAGCTCGAGCCAGAAACCGTCAAACTCACTTCGTCGAGAGATCATGTCCCATTGACCCGCTTTGCTTTGCACCTCTCTGCGTACTTTTGTCATCGTATAGGCTACCCCCAGCAGCAGCAGCAAGGCTACGGTCAGCCTCAACAGGGCTACTACCCCCCTCCCCCTCAGCAGGCGTACGGAGGCCAGCCCCAGCAGGGCTACTACCCCCAGCAGCCTCAGCCTCAGCCCGTCTACGTCCAGCAGCCCCAGAAGAAGGGCGGCGGAGGTGGTGCCGGTACCTGCTGCGCGTGCTGTGCCGGTATGCTCGCCTGCTGCTGTCTCGAGGACCTGTGTCTCGGTAAGCGCGATTATGCCCGATAGGTGTCCCACCCATGTACCGTCGATCAGTCGCTGACTCGTCTTCTTGCTGCCGATCGCACTCTTTTCCCTTGCCTTGCCACTACAGACTGCATGTTCTAAGCGGGCGAATATCGCACGCCGCCCTACTCGTTCATGTTTCACCCCGACTCTGGTTCGTCTGTCCACCGCAGCCTTGTCTTCTGTCAGCCTGGCGCTCTCCGATCATGAGCGATTCTGATTGTTGATGCGGTGCAGTGGCCGCGATTGACTTGACCTTGTCGCTCAATGTCTCTTGTTTTATATCCACGGCTCTGTACATACACCAATGATAACGCCTTTCACGTCTTCCAAATTTGCTACTTGTCTGTTCGCATCAGCTGGCGAGACGAGATCTGGACTGGGCTCGAACAGTTTCTGCTTCGACTGAACGGAATCGGACCCTCGCAACGTCTTGCTTCCACAGATTTAGGAGAACCCGCCTCAACTTGAGGTCCATCTGAGACACGCGAACAAAAAGGCGAAGTGTTAGATAGTTGTTAGCGCACACCTTACGATTTTCGCATGGATGAATGTGGAGCTGACAAGGTCGATCACACCGTTTGAACGCGTATAGAAGGCCCGCACTTACGCACAGGCGATTTGCCAGATTCGCACGCACAGCTCAGCTTCCCACTTGGAACAACACTTTCCATGCCAACCACCGCAAGCACCATCACTGCCCTGGCCTTCACCGTACTCTTTCTCCATAACAACACGGCCTTGTCGACTCATCAACCATCTTAGCAAAGGACCATTCTCTGAACTTGGTCTTCGGCTCCATCGACCATCGCTTCGTTGCTACAGTAAAGTCGCTCGTCATCCCTCCTCTTACCCATTTCGATCATGAACTCGATACTCTCGCGCTTCGATCAGCCGATGAGCTCGTCATTCGGCGGAGGCGCTGCTAGTGCAGTCGCCGCACAGGACCAGCTCTTGGGTGCGCCAGGTCAGTTCGACCTCCCCAACATGGACCCGGCCACTTTCTTGTCCCAGTACACCGACGTCGACTCTTCCAATCCCGCTGCCAAGATCAAGCTCGCACACGGTACCACCACCCTTGCGTTCCGCTTCAAAGGCGGCATCATTGTTTGCGTAGACTCAAGAGCCACAGCAGGCTCCTACATCGCTTCGGGTACTGTCAAGAAGGTCATCGAGATCAACCCTTACCTCCTCGGCACCATGGCCGGTGGCGCCGCAGACTGTCAGTATTGGGAGACCTACCTGGGTATTCAATGTCGACTCCACGAACTTCGCAACAAGGAGCGCATTTCGGTCGCCGCAGCCAGCAAGTACCTCAGCAACCTCGTCTACAGCTATAAGGGCATGGGTCTGTCCATGGGAACCATGATCTGTGGCTGGGACAAGACCGGTCCTGCTCTCTTCTACGTCGACTCGGACGGCACTCGCCTCAAGGGTGATGTCTTCAGTGTCGGTTCCGGTTCCACCTTCGCGTACGGTGTGCTCGACCAAGGGTACAACTGGGATCTTTCCGACGAAGAGGCCCAGGAGCTTGGACGACGCTCCATCTATGCCGCCGCTCACAGAGATGCGTATTCGGGTAACGTAAGTATCAGCCGCACAAGCAGCCTTGCCCTGCTTCTCTTGTCTTCGCGGAATCTTTCTGACAACGTACCACTTGCCATCTCCCTTCACTTTCCGGTTTGCATTCGAAACCAACAGACCGTCAACCTTTACCACGTCCGCGAAAACGGATGGGAATTCATTGCGAACTACGACGTCTCAAAGTGTAAGTGCATGCCTGCATCTCAGCGAACGAATCCATCTTATAGTGTGGCAACCGAGAGCTCCTGTCTGACCATTTTGCTTTTGGACGCATCCACCGATTTGCGCTATAACAACAGTGCATTACGACGGACCCGGCGACAATGTTCCCGGAGCACCAGGCGGAGGCTACGGCTGGGAAGTGCGAACACAGGGTCTCTCATCGAAACTCGAAGCACAGCCAGGACAGAGCGTCAGTGGTCAGGGTGGCCGCTTTGCAGACGAACAGCCGCTCGCTGCGCAGGTACGACCCGAGCAGGCATAACCGTTCCCTGCTTCCTTCGACTCACATCTTGTACACTATTCACTCTGAAGTCATTTGCAATCGGCTCAACGGTCTGGGACTTGTGTTTGTGGCGGAGCGACAGAGGCGCAAGCAGGGGTTTGCGAAGTTCAGAGGTGCACGCAACAATCAAGTGTATAAGTTGAAGGCAATCATAGAAGACAAGCCTGGTGAATTGCATAGCTGCACAAAGAATAGCGAACGCTACTCATTCCATTTGGATGCTGTACGGCGACGATTCCTCCGGCAACAACCTTCAAGAGCTTCAACGACGAGGCTGTCATACCTCAAACGGTGCGTTTGCTGAACAACCTAGCACGTGCTGCATCCATTGACGTCGCGCGCGCTGAAGAAGACGTGGTTCGTCGAACCTTGGCCAAGACTACCACCGCCAGCAATGACAATGTCTTTGGGGTTGAAACCCTTGGTGACCTGGCGAGAGTATGCGGCCGGAGCGTTGGGGACGGAAAGACGGGTCCACGCATTCGCAGCACCATTGGCTCGGTTGAGGTAGAGACCGGTGTCCGAGTAAGCACTCACAACGACGGTGCCGTTGGCCGTGGCACCCGAGCTGGAGCCGATCTGCGTCCACATGACGTACGGACTCGATCGTGGAATGGTCCCATCGCTCGCCTTGAGCACCTGCTGAGGCTTGTCGGCCCAGCTGAAAGGATCGTTTGAAACCTTGTAGTACACCGAAAAGTCTCCTTCGGGCGCACCTCCGTACTCGAAAGTCATGATGTAGTTGCCATTGCCCATCTGAGCCACCACAGGCATACCTGGACGTGCCGAGTAGGCAGATTCGGTGACGTCGTTGACGACAGAGCCCCAATTTTTGAGATCAGTCGTTGTCTGGTGGACGAGCTTCTGGCCGTAGCTGGGGTCTCGCTGGTCCGAGTAGTAGCAGATCAGCTGTCCATTGTTGACGAGCAAGAAGGGCTCCCACACGGGTGTTTCGCCATTGTTAGGGACAGCCTTGCCACCGGCGGTAATGTGAGAGAGGAACTTCCACGTTTTTCCCTTGTCTGTGCTGATGTAAAGGTCGAGCTGAGTCTTGGAGAGATCCTCGGGGATCGAGTTCCCAGCGAGGAGGATGGAGCCCGCGGGATAGCCGGCAAAGCTTTGCTTGAGCTCGTACAGGAAAGGCTGGTAGCGAAGTCCCCAGCCGTTGACCTGATCCGTGACGGTCGAGTAGGGCGACCAAGTGTAGCCATGATCCGTTGAGCGATAAATTGGGAACCAGGTCTTGCCGCCTGAATAGTTCTCCCAGGTAGTCAAGAGTGTGCCAGAATTATCGTTGACAGTCAGCATGAGAGTGCGAGCATACAGCGAGCGGTCGCTCGTGTAGTTGCTCGGAGGCGTGTAGATGGTCACAGGCCCAAAGTCTCTCTTTTGCAGAGGCGAAGACTTGGCGATTGAGAGTGCCAGGCATGCAAAGCCCATTGCTTTTGCGATGAAGTGCATCTTGATAAACGGCCTGTTATGGAGAAGCCGGATTCTTGTCGTGTGCTACAGCCAGGTCTTCCTTGCTTGCAGATAAGGCGGTGAAGAGCAGGACATCATTCCTCAGGACGCCAATAAGAACTGAGTTATATGCGCTTTGCATTGCTAAGTGCAGGAAGAGCAGCACGGGTGCCACGCAACTTAGCCTGCTAAAACGGAAGTGCTTCGGAAGTCGCTCGCTACCGCACTTGCTACTACGGCTTTCCGTGTGAGTAGCATCGAAGCGGAGATCTCACCTCGGCTGAACGTTCGCGTAACTCTCGATGACCATGTGCAAGACTACAACGCCAAGACAAGCTGAGGGTGCCATGCTTGGCTCGCGTAGGGAGTTTCCACATGCGATTCGTGCATTCGGCGATCAGACAAAGAGACGGCAATCTCATGAACTTCCAGGACGTAGGGCAGCTTCAATGTGTAGTATTACCGAGCTCCGAAGGTCAAAGGCCCGAGCGACCCAAACTGTACATACGCTGTCGGCAGAGCAACGCAACGTCAGGTCTCTTTCATGACCTCCTCGCAGGGACGAGGAGCCCCGCAATCAACCCCACATTGCCGAAAAAAGGTGACGTTTTCTCGCTTAGCAGCTTGTGTGCGTGCGTCTCTCGACGGCAATCTCTTAGGGCCTGGCGGAAGAAGCGGCTATTTGTCTGGAATTCCGCACTGCTTGTGAACTGTACGACCTACTTGTACCTTTGTGCTTCATCCAAGCACCTCCCTGGTCCTGCACGTTGCAGATGGTGACGGACGATGGGACTCACAAATCACGCCGGTCAACTCCTCGGAACTCGCCTGCCTCGCTTACTAGAGGATGTCGAGCAAGGCTTCGTCAAGGCCAACGTTACGAGACGAGGCGGAGCATAAATTTGCCATGCAACGGCTGCCCAGCAACCAGGGTCCAATCCTTCGGAACAATTCTGATCTCCGCCACGGCAATCTCTCATTCGCTTATTGTCCCACGCAGTGAGCTTTGTGCGGAAGAGATCACTCCGCTGCGTCCTCTGCTCGGTCTAAAACCTCGCTCGGTGAAAAGCATTCAGGTGCTTGCCCGTCTCGGCGAAAGTCCGGCAACCACAGCGAGGGAGGCGGCCCCAACACAATCTAGGCCGCTTTCACCTCCAAAGGCGTACAGATGTGCCGGAACAACTCTTGTCTTCCGTCTTTGATTCATCTTTCGATTCTGTAAGCCTCGGTAGGGCCTACGGCATGTCGCGCAGCAGCGATGGCGCTGGCGACAAGAGAGGCACAGCGCAGCTCCTGTTATCGTGTTCGACTTCGTCCTTCTTGTCCTCGTCGCTAGCTTCCAGTCAGCTCGCAGTTTTGCAGGCACCAGCTCAAAAGATTGTCTCATAATTAAGAGCAAATCGAGTCAGTGTGTGTTTGCAAGATGACTCACTCCTATCAGGAACGGTATCTGAGACAAGCACAAGTAGCGGATCGGTGCGGTTTATCACGACAGACTTTGGACTATGAAGTGTGGATTTTGCCTTAGCATCATTGAACTCGATAAGTTACAGAAGAATACGCATCAGTGCTTCTCGATGTCATGATCGTGACTGCTGGTCTTGAGACCGTCAAGCTTGTCATCGTGACTTCCGGTCTCGACAAAGTCGGGCTGTGCAATGCTGACAATTCCCCGTCGAAGCTCCTCTTCTCGCTTCTTGTCCGATCCAATGCTTGTGTTGTGGAAAGCGACGATCCAAGGCGTGTTTTCGAAGAACTCGTCCATCTCCTCGAGAGTTCGTCCCTTGGTCTCTGGAAGGATGAGCCAGAATGTAAGAGCATTCGTGAAGCCTCCTACAGCAAAGAGAATGTAGTACTTCCAACCAACGCTCTCAAGAGCTTTAGGCGTGACCTGTCCGATCATGAAATTGGCAAGCCAGCAACTGATGCTCGTCAAAGCAGTACCTTTCGCCCTGATCGACGTTCCCATAATCTCAACAGGAACGGCCCAGGACAGAGGTCCGATGCCTGCCGAGAAGGCGAAGTTGAAGATCCAAATCATGGCGATAAAAGCACCTCCGGCATGCGAGTTGAAGCGAGGGCTGTCAGCCGGGAAGACAGCTTGGAGAGCGGTGGCGATGGCAAAGCAGGACCCAGCCACGGCGTTGCAGACAATAAGTGGCCACCTTCTGCCCAACTTGTCGACAAAGAGCACGCAAGCACCTTCTCCGAGGAGGGCGATGATCGAGTTGATGCTCTGCAGCAGGAAGATCCGCGAGTTCGAGTAGCCGAAGGCGCCAAAGATTTCGGGAGCGTAGTACTGGATGGCGGCAACACCGGTAATCTGCACCGAAAATTGAAGGATGACACCGATGGCGACTTTGCGGATGTTTTGTGTGCTGCCAAAGATCTCGGACCAGCCACTAGCCGTTCCCTTCTCGACGGCGAGCTTGGCCTTGATCTCGGCGAGCTCTGCTCGAACAAAGACGTCGGATGTGTCGCCACGCGCGTGCAGGCGGGCGAGTGATCGCAAGGCTTCTTCCTCGCGACCCTTTGCCATGAGCCAACGAGGCGACTCGGGAAAGAGCATGATGAGGAAAGCCAGAGGAACGGCAGGCGCGATTTGAAGACCCAGGGGAAATCGCCATTCAAAGACGGTGTTGTGATGGTGCAGGTTGGTGCCGTACACGACGAACGAGGCGATTAGAGCGCCAATTCCAAGGAAGAATTGCTGCAGCGTTGTCAGCCGACCGCGAATGGACGGATGAGCGATCTCGGACTGGTACAGAGGCGCCAGAAGCGACAACATGCCAATGCCGATTCCCGCGAAGAAACGGCCGGCCATCATCATGCCCTGGTTCATGGCGGCCGTCTGGAGCACACCGCCAAGGATGAAGATGAGAGCGCCGACCATGATGGCGAAGCGTCGCGAAAAGGCATCGGCAATGAGCGACGCGGGGATGCAGCCAACGAAGGCACCGAGCAGCATCGAACTGACAATGAAGCCAATGTAGTCGCTGCTCGGGTTCTTGGTGACCCGCTTAAAGTCAGGAGCAACGATGACTCCAGCAATTACACCGAGATCTGTGGTCGATGGAAAAGGCATCCCAAAGTCAGCATGAAATGTCTCGTGTCGCAATACATATTGGGTAACGATACGCACCATAGCCAAATAGGATGGAGCCAAGCGCTGCAAAGCAGCCGCAGAGCCAAGTGTAGAGCTTGGGAGGAAGCGCCATGATGTTCCGAGGACGCACGCAGTCGGGAAAGACGAAGAAGGCTTAGACGTTGGCAGAGGTGGATGAGAGTGTTTCTTGAAGGAAGATTGCTTGCTGCCAAAGGGGATGCCTACGGAGGGGTTTGCTTTGGACGAGCATGCATCTCGAGGAGTGGGGACATTATATGGGCATTGGTGTCCTGCATACGCTACGCTCAGCGGACCCGCACGACGCACAAGTACAACAGGGAAAAGAGTGGGGTCCCGCAGCAGGCACATGGTACGACGAGCAGTGTGGGGAAATGGCTTTGGAAAATTTGCCGAGGAGGACGTGGGGCAGGCATGCATTGCTGCGAGTAACCGAGATCGAGTCAGCAAGGAACGAAAGGATAATCAAGATGTCGAGCGACCGTCAAAGCAATTGAGCTGAACGAAAGCGCCACCACGGCGATATCGTGAGGGCCTAGCTGTTGGTTCAAGCCATACTGTACCCGTCCATGTCGTTCAAGACAGCATTTGCCGCAACGAGGAGAGAGGGCTAGGAACAATGGACAGCCAGTTCGTTGCGCGTGAACCAGCGATATTGACACTCCGGTCGACAGATTCCCGAGACCACGCCTGTGATCTCGTTGGACAGGTGGAACAAGTCCGAAGAGACGCGTTCCTGATCAACGACACATGGACTGACTCTACACCTCGACGACGTCTCGCAACTCTTGGCACTTCAGCACCCGCGCATACAGCAATATGGATTGGGCTGGTGAGTGGGTCGAAGGAAACCGGCACGAGGAGAGCATGACACAGTCTGTGAATAACGTGTTGCTTCGGAAATCTCTACGGTTCGAGGTCCGTTTGCAGTAGCACGAACCCGTGGTTGAAGGGAGAGAGATTTGCGAGGCTCCGCTTGGCACTCCGACTCGGCATTTTTCAGCACACGCGACGAGGTGCGCCACTCCATCTGCTACGGTCATAACGGCGGCCGGCTTTGTTCCGGCTAAAAGGCAATGTTCGTATCCCGGACTGAGCAGCCAATCCGTCGACCAGGTCGTACTGAGTGCGTCGCTGGATGTTTGCCGCGGAATTGGAAGAATTTGAACGCCCATACGATCGCGGGGAGTCTTTGTGCCTTGCAGTTCTTTTTTCACGGAAATCTCCAAGGGTCGCAAGCGGGCGAATCGCCCTCCACCACCTTGCTGCTGCGTTTCGGCTTGAGTGGAGTACAAGCATGTTCAAGCCCGCTAGGCTTTGTATACGTACACAAGGTACAGGTCCTCCTACAATTCGTGCCAACATGCGGCAATCTCTTGTCGTCATTGTCTTCTGGTTGGAGGCGGCATCGCTTGTCCCTACTTGTTGGCTTCAGCGGCCATGTCGTTTGGCAGGGTTGGCTGCTGACGACGTGCAACGTCGGCCAATTCAAAAGTGGCTGGATCTTGTCAGCTGTCTTTGCCTGGCTAAGCCATCTCCCGCGTTTGTTTGATTGGTCAGAGAGATTGCCGCGAGTATACTCCGACAAAAGACCCTTTGCGCAGGTGTGTGCCACTTGCTCGCATGTTCGCTTTCCGAAATACGAAAGCGTTCACAGGTAATCCCCCCACGTCGAGCTACTGTCCGTGCATCCGCAGCTTGCGGATCACCTCGCAAAGACCCCAGGATGTACCTCTTCCCTAGCTGAAAGACCTTGGAGGGATCTCGTGCCTCTTTCCCTCTTAACCACCTGTGCATTGCTTCATGCCCCGGCTACACGGTCAGCGACAACACTGACCTGAAGACCGACTTTGCATACATCAAGATGGCCGGCGTTAACCCATACGCAACAGGCTCCGAATCTCCTGTTGCGCTTCGAAAGGGCAACTTTCAGCATTGCCCACAGCTCACCAACGAGCCCATTCGCATCAATCCGCTCGCACTCACGCTTCCTCGATCTGCACCGCTGGTGAGCGACAAGCTCTACTCTGGCTTTGTCGAGCATCTCGGTCGCGGCATATATGGTGGCATTGTCGATGATCCCAAGAAGCCGAGTCCTGATACGATTCTGGAGAAGCAAGACAAGGGAGATGACCGCACCAAAGGTCGCCTGGCGTGGAGGAAGGATGTCGTCAAGATACTCGCCAAGGACGGAGAGCTCGAGATGCCCATCCTTCGCTGGCCAGGCGGCAACTTTGTCAGCAACTACCATTGGCAGGATGGAATCGGACCCATCTCGGATCGTCCAAAACGCGTCGAGCTAGCTTGGCTATCGACCGAGACGAATCACTTTGGTACCGACGAGTTCATCGACTACTGTCGAGAGCTCAAGGTGGAGCCCTACTTTTGTATCAACATGGGTACGGGCACGTACGAAGAGGCGCTTGCGTGGCTCGAGTATTGCAACGGCACTGGCGATACCCATTGGGCCAACCTGCGCCGCAAGAACACGGGCCGAGACGAGCCACACAACGTCAAATACTGGGGCCTTGGCAACGAGATGCACGGCCCATGGCAAGTGGGTTTCCTCAACGCAACCGACTACACCAAGATGGCCAAGCGCTGGGCCCACGGCATGAAGCTAGTCGATCCATCCATCAAGCTGGTATCTTGCGGAAACCAGGGCAACTCGGAATGGGACCGTGAGGTGCTCAATGGTCTGATCGGCGTTGTGGACTTCCATTCTATCCACCTCTACTCGATGCTCGGACACGAACACTACAGCACCGTGCAAGGCTTCGACTACGAGAAGAACGTCTTCGGACCAGCTGCAGCAGAGCGTGGAATCGAGATTTGTGCATCACTCATCGACCTCGCCAAGATCGACAAAGCGCAGTCTCTGCTCGACTGGAATAACCGCGATCAAAAGGTGGCCGCCCGCGACATCAAGATCTGCTACGACGAATGGAACGTATGGGACGAAGTCAAGGCGCCAGGCTCTCAGGGGCTCGAGCAGGCCTACGACTATACCGACATGCTCGGCGTCGTTGCTTGGCTCAACGTCTTGGTACGCAAGTCAAAAGATGTCGGCATCGCCTGCATCGCACAGAGCGTCAACGTCATTTCGCCGCTCATGACGAGTTCGGAAGGCCTGCTGTTCCAAACCACCTACTGGCCGCTGCGTCTGTTCTCTCGGTACATGAAGAACGGACGTCTGCTGAATCTTGGCTTCACGCCAGACTCCTACGAGGGACCTACCTACCCCGAATGGATCCAGCACATCACCAAGCCAGCCTATATCGACTGCGTCGGGATGATCATTCAAGAGCCAGGCTCGAATCACGTCAGTATCAGACTGAGTGTACTCAATCGACATCCCACCGCCGATTGGAATGGTGCGATCGTATTTGACGGCCTCAATCTCGAAAGTGTTGAGGAGCACGTTCTCTATCACGACGACCTTGCAGCGAAAAACACTTTCGAAAAGCCTGACGAGGTGGTACCCAAAGTGAGCAAGTATCAGGGCAGGGACTGGCTCAGTCAAGGCTCACGACCCGTTCGAAAGCATTCGTGGACTTTCCTCATCTTTGGGGGAGAACTCAATGGGGAGAAGTAAGCACGAGCTACACATGTGAGAAGTTGACACCAGCTTGCGAGTAGAATTAACGCGCGGAATAGAATCATCTTCAGAGCATTGAGAGAGGTCGCAGATGTCTCATGCTCGGCGGAACGATTGATCTGATCGTGCATGCAATACATGCAGTAGCACAGACACGCAGGCACTTTAAATGTGTGTTGGCTCCTTGAGTTGCAGTCGCCGTACGGAGGATCAATGTTTGAAAGGTGGGAATCACATCGAGCGCTTCAGGTGCCTCCACAAAATAGTGAGCTGTCGAGCTGTCAGGGAAGAAACTGCCGCTGTCCAAAACGCGCTTCTCTGCGGTCAAGCCACCTCACACGCTTCGATCCGCATCACTTACCGCCATCGACTAACCCGTTGCTACCGACGTCCAGCGGCTCCGATCAACCGACGCCGCTCAGAAGCTCCGGAGTGCGGGCCCTTCCGCTCTGAACTACCGTGCAGACGCTTGCCAGCAGAATCCTTCTCATACTCCCAAGGTGAACTGTAATTAGAACAAAAGGACATTGCGATGACATCAAGCGCGCGCATGCTGGTAGCGGATAGCAGCATAGGTGTAACAGCCGAGTCGCTTCGTCAGGCCCTACGTCAAGCTCGTCATCCCATCCTTCTTGCTGGGGCGGGCTTGAGCGCTGCTAGTGGAATACCGACGTTTAGAGGAGCCGGAGGTGAGTTTGGCGTCCCACAAGCCATGTAGTCGGCCCTGCAGCCGTCTTGCTGACATTTCATCTCCCATTTTTCTGCGACGCTCGCTGCTGCTGCCCATTTCGTCACCGTACCGGCCGTTGTCATTGTCAGGACTCTGGCGCCAACACGATGCTCTCTCCCTTGCAACGCCGTAAGTGACAAGATGCTGAACACACAAAAGAGTAGCTATAGGGGCGACGACGGCTGACTTGTCACACTTCTCATCGCTGCGACGTGCGACGTCTCCCTTGTAGCGAGGCATTCCGCAAAGACGCAAGCAAAGTCTGGCAGTTCTACCACTATCGTCGATCCGTCGTGCTTTCTGCCGCGCCCAATGCAGCTCATTTGAGTCTTGCCAAACTTCTGTGCACCTTTGGATCGCAACAAGATCTCGTGCGTACGCGAATAATGCCAAATGCCGAGTCGATCCATCTCATCACACAGAATGTTGACGGGCTTTCCGGGCGAGCTCTGCATGAAGTTGGATCGCTCGACGCTTCGACACTGGCGAATGCGCAAAAGTCGATCATTGAGATGCACGGCAACCTCTTCAAGACGATCTGCACCAGCTGTGGTGACACACACATCGATATGCGCCAGCCGCTCAGCGACGGATTAAGGGGCACCGAGGATCTCTCTGGCGCGTACAAATCCATTGCCGCGGAGCAGCTGCCGCGATGCGCGGTGGTCGGTTGCAATGGACTTTTACGACCCGGCGTTGTTTGGTTTGGCGAGTCGATCCCAGAGCTGGACCGAATACAGCCGCTTATTTCTCGCTGCGATCTCATCTTGGTCCTTGGCACTTCTTCTACAGTCTATCCCGCGGCCGGCTTTGCCGACGTTGTTAGACACTCCAATCACGGTCGGGTAGCAGTGTTCAACATCGAGGATCCCGCATCTTCGACAGACGGTGACGTGGATTGGTACTTTGCTGGCCCCGTAGAGAGGCTTTTTCCAGAAGTTCTGGGCTTGTAGCGCACGCGAGGATCATCAGGCTCAGCACACACCCACGCTCGCACGCCCACTCCAACTCAGTCGATGCATCCATCATTGTGAGACGCGGTCTATTGCAGCTGTTGATTGACATCAGAGCTCGAGATTGGTCGGTCCCATGTCTTGGATCCAAGGACGGAAGAAGTTGTCCACCGTGTCCTTGCTCTGATACTCGTTCCAAGTCGGGTTGGTCAGCCCCCAGGTGTCATTGAAGAAGCTCACGCCCTGTCGGGTGCGGTAGCTCCCCGCCAGCGACCAATGGGCCCATCCGATCTTGTTCTTCGTGGTGAAGTCGCGCAGGCACTTTTGCATCGTCACATTGGCGTAGCTTGAGTCCATGGCATCGCCGAATTCCGTCAGCAGCGTAGGCAGAGTCACATTGGCCTTCGGACAGCTGTACGGATTAGAGAAATCGGTCGAATTATTGCAGCCATCAGGACGAGCGGATTCGCCGAGCGCATTGAATCCGAATCGGTAGAGACCCGCTTGAATAGCACCGCAGTCCTCGAGATGGTTTCCATAGTAGGTCGACTGCTTGTACGCGTGAAGCTCAAGCACGGCTTTATTCGCCTTGCCAAACTCAGTGTTTTCGATGTCTGCGTACATGGCGGGCATCGACTGAGCATTGGAGACATAATTCATGTCATTGTTGACGTAAGGAGCGTCGAGGAGGTTGGCTTGGCTCGTAAGCGCCGAGAGATCGATGTCGTAGTCCAATCCGCTGATCGTGATGAGCAGATCTGGATTGGTAGCATGTATGTTTTCAGCGGCTTGCGAAACGTTGCCCCACCACGTCACCCAGTTGTATTCCAGGTCCGACTTGATCGTCGACTTGCGCAGCTCGTTTCGAAGCGACATGGAAACGATGTTGGTATGATTCTTAGCCCACTCGGCCATGTAGCGATGACCACGATGCCAGTTGCTGACGTTGAAGTACAAGTCGTCGAACCACGCGTTACCATCGTCGTGACTGCAGCACCACAAGGCTCGACTGACGTGGTTGTCGAGGTGCATAAGCATGCCCTGCTTTTTCTCCTCCTCGGCGATCATGTCGAGCACTTCGAGCCGCGTCGTGGTGTTGGTGATCTGTGGGTTGTTTTCGTGGATCATCCCCATGATTCGAGTAGCATTGGCCTCGCCCAACCCGTCGAGCAGCGCAGATTGAACAGTGACATCGTTGCCGTCATTTTCGTAGATCTGGTCGATCATCTGAATTGCATACGTGTGACGCACAAAGTTGTACCCAACGTACTTCATCATGCCAACAATGTCGGCGATCGACCGGAACTCGATGCCCTCTGGAAGCATGGTTTCTCCCGAGCCGGGCCAGTTGGTTCCGACAAAGATTACGGGCTCACCGTTGGCGTTCTTGATTTGATTACCGTTGGTAGAGAGAGGCCCATAAGGCCATGCATCACGACGAATGGGTGTCGCTGCGGCTAGAGCCGTCTGCACAGCGGCTGCTGCGAAAGGCAGAAGTGTCCAGAGGTTGTGCTTCATCTTCATAGGGGTAGCTTGAGCGGGGCGGGAAACTGTACGGTCAGTTTCACAAAGTGTTTCATTCCGCCATTTATAGCTTCCCGCAAGGCTGCCTTGGCATCAGCAACGCTTGCTCGGTCCGCGACTCTGCTTCGAAGGGCTAAGTGCAACGAAGCGTACCGTCACGAGATGCAGAGCTCTGGAGCAAGTCCCACAACTTCGAGCATGAACTCATCCTCAAGCTGATGCGCGCCGGCAAGCTAGCGGCGCTCTAAGCGAAGTCCGAGCTTGAAGAACTTGGGACGTCATGCCGTCAAGCGCCTTCGGGTCAGACTTTTCTCCACAGCGAAGAGGGGTGTCGTCAGAACCGACCAAGACCGACGCATGTCGAAACAGCCGTTTCGAACGAGGTTTTCGTCGGCCTTCGTTTAGAGCGGTGGAAACACGGCACGTAGGCTGCGAACGATGACGCCGAATCAGCAGAGTGGTGCAGCGATGCCGCCCACGATTGCATGAACCACGACATTGTGGGGGAAGGCGAGATTCCCGATGCGGGGTACATCCGAGGTAGACAGCCGAGATGGAAGAAGCGCGCATCGCTCCGTCTCGCGGCAGCCGCTCTGTTCGCCGCGATTCCCTCCGGCCCGACTGGCCTTTGACCTCTGCTTTCAATTTCTCAGCGCTATTCACCTTCAGATCCTGAAGCCGGATCAGATTGACAGAATGTATTCACGTAGGCGTACCGCCGGTCAGTCTCAGGGAGAAGTGCGGCAGATACTGTCCGGATTTTCGATACTTGCTCAAGGATGTAGACACAATGTTCAGAGGACTGGTGCTCAACATTTGCATCTCGGAAGCGGGCGGACGAAAACATCCATAATGACAGGACTGTCGTAGCATTGTCGGTAGGGTCGTGGAGCGGTACAAATACAGATGGTTTGCAACCAGATGATTGACCTCGAGCAGGGGCATGGTCTGCGGACGTAGAGCGCTTGCTATCCGACACAGAGCTACGAGCCGGTCAAGAAGGCGCTGTTACCCATGCTGGTAGTCGCATCAATCGTTGGGCCAACGCCAAAGAAGACACTGAAAAGATCAGAGCCGAGATATCTGCGACGATCGACGAGCGACATGGAGCTGGGCGGTTTGACTTCGATAGGTGCGTCGCGGTCGTGCCCCGAGGATCTGCCACCGACCTTTTGGAAGCTTGACTTGACGAGCCACGAGAGATGAGCTGTGAAAGTCGAGGAATCAGTTATGTCCAGTTGATCAAAACGCTTGCTGCACAGATATATCAACTCTTGCGTCGATCTTGTCTGGTCTGCATCGTGGAAATCGATGAGAAGGGCAGACGCTGCGGCTGCTTGGCTGAAGCGCCGCAGCAAATAGCCTGGAGCGTAGAGGAGCGCTCCGCTGATCTCGGGATCCGTGAAGATATCCATAAGCACCTGGCACGCTTGACGTACATCGTGTCTGTAAGCAACAACGAACCTCGCCGAATCCTCCTCGTATCGGGCGTCGTACCCATTGCTGCCCTTGAATGGACGCCCCATTTCGGCGACTTTGAGAGCAACAGCTGCCAGATAGATCTGCAAGGTCCAGCGATCGACCAAGCCCACGATCCTTTCGAGCCGGCTGCAGTCGGTTTCAGAGGCGAGCCATCGCTTTTCCAAGTCGAACAGTTGAGTCTGGAGGTACTTGAAACGATCCCAGTCGTGTGTCAGGTTCGATCGGGCGTTGCCCGGAGGTGCTTCAGCAAGCGGAAGCGGTGAATTGAAAGACATTTCGCCAAGCCACATCTGCAGCTCTTTGAGCATGGAAGCTGCGCGGACGAGGTAAGGCGTCGGAATTGAGCTGCGTGGTGGGCGCGGCGCTTTTGCCAGCAGAAGGTCGTGGTCGGTGAGATCCATGCCCTTGCCGGTGTCGATGGCAGCCAACGATTCAAAGGCCCTGAGGGAGGCCCAGAGAGGAAGCAGGCGATGCGAGAGCAGCGGAGCGTTGCGATCGCCGTCGAGCGCAGCCGTCTGTGCATGCCGGGCAACACTCTGCAAGACGTTGGATGCGTGACTCGCCAGCACCTTTTCGTCGGGCGATCCCGGGAACGCCTGGGGCCAGTATGCTATGAGAAGGATTGCCTGTACAGAGCCAATCGTTGGCTCTGGATTGCAGAGCTGCTGACCCAGCTGATCGAGCGCAAACGAGGCTAGTCCTGCATGAATCTCGGAGCGGAGAGAATTATCGCTCTGTGCGTGCGAGTCTTGATACAAAGCACCGATCGTGACCAACGCAGAGAGGAGGAAAGGCTCGGAATGAGAAAGGGACGCTGCATTGATCTTGCTGTCGAGGTCGAGGAAGGGGGCAAACACGTGGCAGTAGGTGAGGAAGACCTCCAACAATATCTGACCCATCTCGAGCGTGATGAAACCTGCGTCGATTGGATTACTGGCGGGCGCCTGTCGAGTGCCATCGCTGGAAGGGCGAATAAGGGCAGGAGACACTCGGGTGGTGAGGATGGCCGGATTGGAGGAGCGCCTGGACCCGGACGGCTCTTCGGCGGCGCCGCGCAATCCGTGGCTGTTGCTAGCGTCGTGGTGAGACAGGGTCTGGAGCGGAACGCTGGCTTCCGAGGCGACATCCTGGAGCTCATCGACTTCGGCATCGGAATCATCAACGGAGTCAGCTCGTTGGCGCTTGCGCTCGGGCTTTTGTGGCGAGGCGCCGGATCGAGAGGAAGAAGGGCGGGCGGCTGCGCCAGTGCCGTTGCGCTCAAAAGGTGCTGCTGGATGGCCATCGACCCTTTCGGCGAGACGGGCGACTGTGCGTTCGAGATTGTCGATGCGACGCACTGCGTCTGGAAGGGAATAGACAAAGCGTTCGGAAGGTTGGTGGTGGTGCATCGCTTCGCGGTGGTGCGCACCGGCGTGCATGTGGTTTGCGCCGCGCGTGCGATCGACGAACATAAGGTCCGACATGGTGGAGGCGTAGGGAGGGTGCGCTGAAGCGTGCGATGGTAGGCCACTGGCTGTCAAGTGGAGTGAAGCCTGCGACTGAGGACGCGTGGAAGTCGAGGAGGAGAAAGAGGCGCTGTGGGCCTTGCCGTCCCTGTCATCCGCGTGCACTTTGTTTGAGGAAGGTGTGCCGCCCGAATTGGCCTCGGAGGGTTCCTTGCAGACGAGCTTTAGCTTGAGGCAGCGCGCGCATGGGAAGACGCCGTCGCACTTGAGCTTCTGACCACGACAGCGGATGCAAGCCCTTTGGGACCGCTTGCGCTTCTTGGCTTCGGGTTCGGCATCCTTCATGCTGGAGGGCATGTCGGAGCCGTCCTTGAGATCGGCTAGTTGCATTTTGTCGTCAGGTGTGATGGAACGGCCCTGATTTGAGGGCGTGGCGGGTGGACTGGGAGCCTCGGCAGCACCGTCGAGGTTGCTCAAGACCGAGCCCTTTTGCGCGGGTTTTGGCTCCGACATGATGCTGATACAGGCGTCTTAACCGAGACGCTGTGGTGGTGGAGTCGATGCGTCGCGTCGATGCGAATGCGCTTAAAAAGTCGAAAGGTTGGTCTACCGTCGGCGTCAGGAAAGCAAAGCTAGCCAAGTCCTATCTGAGCGGAGCGAGAACCTCGTATGGATATGCATAAGAGACCGAAAGGATCTGCAGGTGCTTCTTGTCAAGCAAACGATGCGAGAGCCAACAAGGATGATGGTGTGCGAGGCGATGGTACTTTCCAAGAGGGTCAAATGGAAAAGGGTTGAGTGTGAGGGAGAGGAGATGAATCAAGTTTTGAGGTGCGAACGAATCGGATCGCAACGGCTCCCAAATGAAAGATTCGGAAGGTCAGAAGCCGTCCGAGTTGCGGAGAGGTCACAGCGGCTCGGGTCGCAGGCACGTCGCGGTGGCGCCAAGTTGCAGTCACAGCCATCTGCGGAGGCGGTCCAGAAGAAGAAGGAGATCGCCAAGGCCTGCCCCACTCGCACTACCGGCAGCATGTCGGACCATAGAGTATGTCTTCGGGAAGCAAACGAGCCACACCCAAGTCTAGCATCAGCATACATACGGAGCGCAGCAAGCGAATGCGGTTGTGCGGCTCCGGTGTGGTGGCGGCCTGCTGTACAGTGGACCGAGGATCTGCAGACAGTTGGCTTACCGGACCGGTTCGGCAGTCACCCAGAGCAGGGGTCATACACTACTTTGATACGCGGATAGAATCTCTCGACGGCAGCACGAACCGACAGGTGAGACAAGCCGCGAAGCATTGCACCCGATAATTCATGAACTCGGCTTCGCACAGTGGCTGCAAATGCAAGGCCGGCACCGGACGAGCCGTCGATGGGAATTTTTCGGCTTTTCGGGTCCCCAACGTGTTACGGTGGCTGATCTGGATCGCCGCCGAGCGGCAGCAGCGGCAGCAGGCAGCAGGCAGCAGCAAGAGGGACCCGACGAAATGCGGGAAGCCCGCTCGCGTTGCTAGGACAGTGGCGCGAAGCGTGAATCAACGGCGTTGCTCTTCCGAGCAGGCGTTCGACTCGGGTTGACCGATGAGAGCGTTTCAAGTGAGAAGCTGCGGTGGCAAAAAGTGACATGCATGTGCACTCGTAATTGCATCCCACCCAGCCGACCCAGGAAACGGTGCACTGGGCCGTTGCGAGACTCAGGAAAAGCGAAGGCCGGCATCGAGCCACGTAAGCGAGCCATGGCGCGGCACTGTCAGCCAAGCCCAAGTAATTCGACTGGAGCGATCCCCAAACCTTGATGCCAACACAGCCAGCCGGTCGATCCGAATTCTGACTTCATCGGCGCGTTCCCTCTGGAAGAAGAAGACGTCACATCACACACACAATCAATTTGCCCGGCGCTCTTGCCGACCGATCTGTCAGCGAGGCTGCAGTGTGGCTTGCACAGCTGTCATCACGGCAATACGTCGGCGCCGGTGCCTCGGTTCCGAATACCGAATCAGAGGCCCAGCATGGTGAATTGAACGCACTCGTCATCGGTGCAGAACGAGAGGCAGTTCAGAGCACCGTTACCCTTGCATTCGTTGGAGTTCGACTGCACAACGTGTGGTGCTCACCCATGCTCCAGGCTGTCGTGCGGTGAAGGCCGGAGAGAAGCGGACTGCTGACAAGCGAAAATAAAACGGCGCTAGACTCCACTCAAAGTCGCTTGCGCGCGTTCGCTGTGTAAAAAGACGGGCCGAACGCCACGCCTGAGTTACCAGAGCCAGGGCCAAAGACCGAATCAAAGTCCGACGAGACAATCGGGATCGGAAGCGGACACCTTTGTTCCAAAACCCGCTCTACCTGACCATGTTGGGCGTGGCTACGTCAAGCTGCTGTTGCCCCCCGTGGCTTCCACCTCGTGCTCGATCGGTGCGTGAACACGCCTTCTTCAACTCGCAACTCGCAGAGGTAAAACTGCGACCGGCACCCGTAGCCATCTGCTCTACGTCCTCAGTCTGGCGAGTCCGGGCCACCTTGGATATGGGCGTCCGATCGCTTACCAAGGAGGCGTCCCCTTGCTTTCATACATAGCCGAAGACGCTGCCTAGTGTTACCGCCCGAACATTGCCAAGATGCTCATGGGCGCCATTTCATCCGGTCGTTGCTCGGGGCACACTTCGACATCTGATCGAACCGAACGTCGACTGAGACCTGCTCAACGCGTCTAATGCCGTCTGACTTTTCGGGCCCACACGCACTAAAACACAGATCGGTCGCCGCCTGCATTGCCGTTGCAGATTCAACAGAGACACTTGGACATCATCATCCATTCAACGTCCCAGAACTTCGGAACCAGTCACCTATTTTCCCTTTCATCGCCGAGTCGGTGCCGGAGTCATTAGCGGCGCGGCCCATTTTCTCTTCCTCTGCACGTTCTATCCTGTTGCTACAACAGCGCAAAATGTAATGGCGCGTGTCTTAGCATTGCACACAACATGGCTCGCAAGCTAGTCAGTTTTGGATGGTAGCAGCTGCGACATAGGGCTCCGATCAGCTATGCACGCGACCTTTGCAAGGTCCCGGACTCCGGTTCATTTCGTCTGCGAATCGGCAGCAAGCAAGAACAGGCACCAAAACAGGCGCGCAAAAACTGGCTCCTGTCGATGTGGCATCTTCCGCTGCAGATCTGCAGCGAAGAATAGCACATTTTTCAATTCTTGGAATTGCATTAAAACTTAAGAATAGTCATTCGGCACGGCTTCGCACTTTTTGCTGCATCACTGTCTCGGTCGCCGAATTCACCGAATGGGGAGGTGAGCTGAGCAAAAAGTCTCTGTGAAACGCAACCACGAGCGAGCCAAGAATCTGGCAACTGTTTCGCCCTCTCTGCGCTGTTGCTGTAGTGTGCCTGTTTGCAACCTGTCGACCTTGGCAACTCTGCATGTCGCCATCCTCGTCGTCGTTCCAGTGTGCACGAGCATCTCAGTCTATACAATGTGCTCGGGCTCACAGTACACAAAGGACAATCACGTACCACGTTCTCGTTCGAAGGGAACAGATCGAGCGGGGCGCTCTGCATCCTTCGGCAACACGGGAAAACCTCGAAGAGAGGCTTTCGACTTCGCATCGGGAAGCGGCAATAGTTGCAGCGAAATCAGTGTTGGAGCAAAAAAGCTGTGTGTGTGAAAGGCAGGAGCAGCAGCAGCATCAGCAGCAGAGACGACCGATGCTGCCGTGTGGGAGCACAAGGCGTGTGCTGCCAGAAATAGAATCTTGGTGCATCCCGTGAGAGAAGGCGAACTCCGAATTCGCTTAGAAATGGAAAAAGGATTGGCTTCGGCCAATCATTCATGCAGCTTGAATTCCGGATCACTCTGCACCATGCGCAAGTTGTGTGGGTCGCGGGCACAACACAGCAGCGCGTATAGCCCAATCCCTGGCGGTCTCTTCGTCGACCGTTGCCACCCCTCAGCATTGCGGGTAAAGCAAAAGGGGTTCGGCTCTCAACTTTGTAATCAAGTAGTCTTCCCTGCTGCTGACAACCCAGCTGCAGCATGCGAGTTCGGCGACAAGTCGGCCCCAATGTGAAAAAGGGATGGCAGTATGAACGACCTTGCCGAATCCCAACATCCCTCGGGCCCTCGATGCATTTAAGTTGCATTTGCATGTGAGTGCTTCCCGTGTCAGCACCCACACTGTCCTCAACACCTCGCATATGGATCGCTTTCGGCACGCAAGGCTCGGGGGAACCAATGGTGTGTGAGTGGCAAGCCGTCAAATTCAGGCGACAATGACCCAATGCCGAAGGAGATTGCATTGCTTCAGACAGCTTCCTACGGTCCTACGCAGGCGACGATCGTACAACCGCACTGTTGTGTGCATTGTACGCCTGCGTCGCGGTTTCGTGTGTTGGCACACAGAGACACAGTGGCAGTTTACAAGGTTTGAATGCGTATGCAGAGGCAAGCTTCACGGTGACTTTGTCCATTCTGGGTCCGCTCCTTGAAGAGATACGGCAATAAGGACCGCAGCAAGGTCTTGCGCGAATCGAAGCGCCGGCCAACTCCTTAGCTTTACGCTGGGGTTCGGCCCCCGCCTTCCGCCTCGCGAGTCGTTTTCCCATCGACGCGCGAGGTAGCATCCCCTTCCCGCTCGGAGTGCGCAACCTTGCTAATCGGGCCGATCACGTCGTCTGAAGCATCCGATCTGCCTGGTAGGCTGCAAGCAGATATCTTGACGTGTTGGATCTTTCCGACACGCCATTTAGAGCTCGACCAAAGGGTAGTTTAACACGAGCGTCCCCCACCGCACCGAAACGCAAGTGGAGCAACTGAGCTCACAACACGCATTAGGCAGTGGCGACAGAGGATGTTGGCCAATGGCTCCCGACGCTTGGATCGAGTGGTGTGGGGGGCCGAGTGTGGGATTGCGGTCTAACACCACGTGTAGACTAGACACCAAAACCTCGCAAATCGTCCGCTCGGCCTCTGACACGACGCCGTATTTTGTACAACTGCAGTACTCGAGTGACACAAGCTTGACCCCACAGCGACCGAATCGCGTCTGTCGTGACCGCCCTTTTGGAAAGCTTTGAAGTATCATGCCCCGCCCTTCCACGATATATCAAAGGTGTCCTTCTATGCAAAACTCTGAACCTACACGAGCACCGGTGTGATCAAGTGGTGTGTTAACAACCACCCTCCGTTGCCGAAGCAGTGTCTTCCTCTCGCCCCACTCCAACCTTCCAAGGTTCTGAGCGTGTAGGCGCTGGCGTCGACCTATACCGCAAAGTTGTGCGGGGGCAACTCGGTCATAGCGGGGTCGGGGCGCCGCGCCGCTGTGTTGGACAATCCTCGCCCCTCTAGCAGCACTGCGATGAGGGCCTATCTGAGCGTGCCAGCCACATGAAAAGAGCATTGCATTCGTTTACCCCACATCCTGCCTACTTGCATTCGTTTACCCCACATCCTGCCTACTTGAGATCTGTCAACATAAAGAGGGTTCGAGATCGGCTCGAGCCCCGCATTCTTTTCGCACCCGCCCCCTCCTCCATCACAAGACAACAAAAGGCTTGCCTCGTCCATCACGAAAACCTATTCAAGCTGTTTCGTAGCGCAGTGGCTGAGCTTCATCAGTTTCGAGTCAATATGGCTGCCGAAAGGGAACCCTCCACCAAAGGGAGCGTCGGCGAGAAGGATGAAGCACGCCAATCTCATCTGACGCCTGTGTACTACTCGACCAATGAGGCCAGCCGGCCAGGATTCGACAGTCATGTGGTGCGAAAGATCAGCACCCTCGGCGCCACTGCCGGAACTGTTAAGAATGTGGCCGCTGATGGAGATATCATCCTCCTTCCAACGCCGTCCAATGACCCCAACGATCCCCTCAACTGGTCTCGCGCATACAAATGGTACCTGACCTGCATTGTCTGCCTTGGCGCTTTCATGTCCAACCTCACCACTGCCGGCCCCAGTATCGCCATCATCCAGACCGGCATGACTTTTGGCACCGCCCCCACCACCACCGCCTACTTGTTCTCTTGCGCCGCCTTGATGCTTGGCTTTTCCATGTTCTGGTGGTCTCCCTTGGCGTCCAAGTTCGGCAAGCGACCCATTTATGTCTTGACCTACATCGTATACTGTGCGTGCTGCTTTGGCGCAGGCGCCTGCAAGACGTTCGGCGCCCAGCTCGCCGTCCGTATGATCATGAGCTCAGCCGCCGGCGCTGGGGAGATGCTTGGCCCGCTCACCATCAACGACATTTGGTTCGTGCACGAGAGGGCCACTCCCATGGCAGCCTACAACGCATTCCTTTCGGTCGGAGTGGCATTCGGCATCATCATCGACGGCGCCATCATCAACACATATCCTTGGCAATACATCTACTGGGTCAACGGTCCTGTCATCGCCGTCATCTGCATTCTTGTTAGCTTCAGCTTCCCGGAGACTTCCTTCCGCAGACCGGCGCTTGAGACGGTCACCAAGAGCCAGCACCGTCACATCGACCTTTCCCACAAAAAGACGTGGGCGCAGAACCTCAGCCTCTACAGCGGCATCTGGACGCAAGAGAGCTTCCTCACCCTGTTTATGCGACCTTGGCTGGCGCTCATGCTCCCCGCAGTTGCATGGGCCGCCTTTGTTTGGGCTGTCAGCGTAGGCTTTGTAGTCGCCGTCGCGAGCAACGTCGCGCTCGCTTACGGCATGACCTACCACTTTGGACCGCTTCAAGTCGCTTACTGCTGGTTCGCCGGCATCATCGCCAGTCTGCTTGGTCTCGTCGCCGGTCCTCTCGCGGACAAGATCAGCCATCGTGCCACTGTCAAGAATTCGGGCATCCGAGAGCCCGAATTTCGCCTACCAGCCGCCTTCCCCGCGATCGTCACCAGTCCGCTTGGTCTGGTTCTCTACGGTCTTGGCATCCACAATCGTCTCCATTGGATCGTGCCGACGTTGGGCATCGCTCTGTGCAATTGGACCATCGTGGCCGGCACCATGGTCCCGCTGGTGTACGCTGTCGACTCGTACAAGCCAATCTCGGAGGAGGTGGTGACGTGCATCCTCGGCTACAAGGCGCTCTTTGGCTTCCTGCTCGCCTTCTACACAAACAAGTGGGTTCAGAACGAAGGCTACCTCAACGCTTTCGGTGAAATGGCCTCCATCTCGGCCGCTGCTTTCTTGCTTGCGATTCCGTTTGTTTTCTTTGGCAAGCGCATTCGTCAGGCGTCGCTCAACTGGAAGGTCTTTCGCATCATTCGCTGGGATGCGGATCGTGACGATCTCGTTCTTGAAGACGACTAGGACCTCGATCTAGATTGCGGTCAGATTTGTAAAGGGGTTGGATGTACAGTATACTATAGCATGACGTGAAATGGCGAGTCTCTTGCACCTGGCTCGTTGCGGCCATCTTGGCAAGCCACGTTCGTGAAGAACATCAGAAGTCGAGACCGTACAGCTGACAGACGGGAGAAAAGTCGGCGGGCTGGTCCGAAAAGCCCCACGACATGGATACCGCGTTGGTCTGCGAGTCCGCCTTTGCGTTTGACGGGATAGTGTAGCCGTGCGATTGCATCGCTTTCAGCGTCGTTCCATTCTCTGCACGCTGCAGGCTTTCCAATTTGCTGCAAAGGCGACCACAAGCCGCATTCACCTCCTCGACGACGTTGGCCTGCTGCTGCGAGGTGCAGTCAGGATTGCCAGCGTACCTCGATGCGACCCGTATGTTGATGTAATACTCGATGAATTGCAATACCAGACTCACCACTGATCCTTGCGTCAGAGTATTTGCATTTGCATAGTCGTCAGAGGTCAGGTAGTTGCGCACGGTGCTGGTCACGGTTTCAGATCGGTTCGCAGTCCAGCCAGCAACCACGGTTGTCCCATTGACCGTACCACGTGCGGCTTCTCCAAGGCAGCCCAAGGCGGTCTTGCACATCGTTGGAAGTTGGCGTTCTCGGAGATCGAGACCTGGATCGAGTCCGAACACCTCTTCCAACGCACTATCTAGTGATGGAGGTCCTTCGAGTCGACCAGATTGGGATACTGTTGGAATCACTTCATGTTCGATCCTAACCCAGACCGCGGTCAGGTCGCTGACGGTTTGTCGTCCATGATCCTTGGTAGAAATCTTGTTTGGCAAGATATCCAGCCTCCTGAAACCGATGGCAAGCAAGCTGCTGCTGGTGTCGCAAGTCGCTGTTGACGCCAGCAGAGTTGCAGGCTGTGCCGCAGTTGAGAGAAGCCAGGTGAGGGAAAGGACAAGTGCTGCCAGAGCCCATTCTCTACGGGTGAAGAAAGACATGGCAAGTGCTGTCCGAAAGGTGATTCAGGTGGCCGTTTGTGCGATAATGGGTCCCCCTAGCGAGGCGCTGTTGGGTAGGTTAAATTCCGTCAAACTCCTTGAACCGACAAGAGATCCGATACAAGCACGCAGTGCTCTGTGCTGACAAGCCCCAAAGGTCGAGATGATCGGATCCTCCTTGTCGTGTTTCGGTCAAGTTGGCGCAGTTGAGACGTAGGCGCAGGAACGTGGAGCTGAGATCATGGATGCGACCACAATATACGAGATGAGGTTTCCTCATTGGGAACAAAGGGCGTGCACGTCGCTTGTAGCATTCTGCCAGTGTGAAATGACGACAACCTGTTGATACAGATTCTGGCTCTAAATTAGCGCCGAAGAATGCAACAGCGATAGCCAAACCGATTGAGATCAAGCAACGCAGCAAAACACCACAGAGCGGCCTGCCGCCTCGCCGAATGCCAAACAGGGTTCGATGCAATGTGACATGTTCTAGAATAATACAACACGATCTGCATTCAATTAGACAGCTGGACTTTGATCTCCGCTTCATTGTGACAAGTCTGAACAGGGAGTCACGATATAGAAGAGTTTACCTAGAGTTCTTCTTGAGGGTTGCTGGAATATACTTGCAGGGCTGGCAATTCTTTCCAAACCTCCAGCAAACATCAAGCCGAAGTAGGGGCCTTGCTCAGCATCTGGGGACCTGAGACTACCTTGCAGACGGTTGCGGTTAACATGATAAGAGCGGGGAGGCAATGCAAGACCCCACATCATTGGGGAAACCAATAACCAATTAGCCAGATCGGTTGTCGAGATCTGGTGGGCGCGTGGAGGTCCTAACAGATGGCAGAAGGGCAAGGACCAAGGTTGCTTGGAACGGATGACAATGTGGCAATTGCTCAGGAGGTTGCAGACTGGCGTGCCCCTGCAGCAGAAGAAGCTTGAGCAAAGCTGAGAGGCCCAGGACTGCTCAAAACATTGGCCTTGTGATACTTCTTGTCATAACCAAATTCTTTGTCTCCTGACTCTCTTTCACCATACTCTGCCTCCTGTGCATCTAATCCCTCTCCTTTGGCTTCCTCTGCAGCGTTGTCTTCGCCATCCCTGTTGACCAATTTGGGCAAGAACTCGCCAGGCCTGCGACAAGTGCTTTCACATAAAGTCATGATGAATGCGGTGGTGATCTTGTCGATAGGGCTAGCAGACATATGCCAGACATTAGACGCCAAGATGTTGAGCTCCTCATCTGTTAGAATGTGCTTAATCCAGACTGCGGTTTTATGGCGAACAAGCAAGATAGAGTGGCGCTGGAGACGCGCGCTCAGAATTATCTTTGTATTGCCAAAGACGTGCACTACAAATTTTCTGGGACGCGTTGTAGTTCATTGGAATTATCTGGGAATATTGCGCGTCAAAGTCAAGACTACAAATCAGAAGACATGCACTACAAAAGACCAAGGCATCCAAAGTCAACAACGCAGACATTCATAGTCAACTCTGAGAGACGTGCACTACAAAGACTTCCTTGATGGACGGAGAGAGATCATTCCACTTTTGCCACACGCTCCCATTGTAAACATGTCCCTTGTTGTCTGCCCTGTCTGCCGTCTCAGCTACTCCCCCTCCAACATCACCGCCCACATCCGCTGCTTCCATGCTGGTGTGCGTGTATCTCAGGAGGCAGCTGCCGCCAGCGGCCTGGTGGCATGCAACTGCGGTCAGGTAGTCTTCAATGCAGCGGCACTGAAGAAGCATCAGGGCAT